AAAAAGCTCTGGCCCATAGCAAGCTGGAAACCACTAATCAAACGATGGTAACTGGCCAGATTGATTTCACTCAATCTACCTCTAAAGCCATCCTATGTTCAAGAAAATCTACCCCAAGGCAAGCCCTCTTGGATTCAGGAAAGCAATCTTTACCTCCAAAGTAATGTGTGAGTTAGAACAAACTGTTACTTCAAAGAATTTGCACACACATACTCAGACACTCTCATACACTAATAAACATAGACACATATGCAATATATCCTCATACATACATACATACATACATACATAATCACAGTCCCATCCAACATCATAAAACATAGGAAAACATCCTAAGAGAACACTTCTCACTGAAGCAAGTACAAGTTAGTCAAACTCTTTTTTTTTTTTCTTTTTGGGTCACACCGTGCAATGCACAGGGGTTACTCCTGGATTTGCATTCAGGAATTACTCCTGGCGGTGCTCAGGGGACAATATGGGATGCTGGGAGTCGAACCCGGGTCAGCCACATGCAAGGCAAACACCCTACCCGCTGTACTATTGCTCCAGTCCTTAGTCAAACTAATTCTTATAAAGGTGATGGAACATCACTCTGCATCACACAGAGAAGAGCCAAACTCTACAAAGTGCTTTGTGCAATAAAATGAGAATCACAATAGATTAAATAGAATATTGGCTGGAAGCAGGAAACTGAGAACTGATCCTGCAGAACATACATATTTGAAAAATTAATTTTTAATTTATAAAATATCAAAGAGAAACAATAGTAAGCAAAGGATATAGCACAGAATCCCAAATACTGAAGAAGAGTTTCCAATGGATATGATACAGACATCAAAAATAATCAGAGCTGCAGTTTAAAAGTATTTCCAAAAATTGGGAATTGAGATTATAAAGAAACACCCATATTCTGTTAAACACTAAAAATAAGCAAAAGAGCCAGAGAGATAGTATGGCGGGTTAGGTGCTTGCCTTGCATGTGGCCCACCTAGTTTCGATTCCCAGCACTGAATATGCTCCCCCAGTGATCCCTGAACTCAAAGCCAGGAGTAAACCCAAAGCACCACCAGGTGTCAACCAAAATAAATAAAAAGAATAAACAAAAGAAGTAAAAAGAAAACATAAAAACTCAAACAAAAAATCATTTAAAAATTAAATTTTAAGTTTAAATTTTATTTAAACTTAATAAAATTAAATTAAATTTTAATGCTGAATTTTCCTAATCAGACAAGTGTAGGATGACACTGCTTTGTCCTTTCTCCCTTTCTCCACAAGGAGCTTAGGTTTATCAGGTTATAGCCATCACAGTGCTCCCAAGTCACTCCCATTCCTTCGTTTATCTGTAACCACTTCTCTGTGCTCTCTTCCCCAACCAGTTAATCAGCTTTCCCCCAATCAGATTCTGTTAACTTGTAAGGTTAGATTCCCCAGAAATCTATGATTTTATATGTATGAATGAAATATTGCCTTTCTCCTCTCCTTATGTCTTTTGAATAGTTTACTTTAAAGCAATGTCCTTTTCGTATAGATACAGGAAGACCATTAATATTATGCTTTGTAACTTAGGATTTAATTGGTTTTGAATATTATTCACTCCTGGGCATCTGCTTTCTCGACTTAAGCCTCAGTTCCCCTTAGTTCCTAGCACCCCAAAAGCACCCCCGACGAGGGACTGAATGGACCCAGGGCAAGCGGTGAGCTACCCTGGCATTGAAATGGGCCAGGCCAAAGTGCCACGATTCTTAACTATAAGTTAAGAGCTTGATCATAGACAAATACTGTCATGATCCAAAAGTAATGATGAGAGTAGGACCCTGCTAGGGGTAGGAAAGACTATCTGGCCTGAGCACTGTAGTCTGAGATTGAGATGGTCCTAGGAGGGCAATTCTATAAGTTTAAGATATTTCTTACTGTATCCATACAAAATTATTTATATTATACATGCTTATATGTTTGTTGGACAAGGAGAGGAGAAACACACCCATGGGATTCCACTCTAGGGGGAGTCGTCCTGCTGAGAGAGTATCTGTCCTAGAAGCGGCGAAAGAGAAAGAATTCTACCCCTATTGATTGTGACCACACCTATGTGTAATTGTTACTCCAACCCCTCATGCTTTGGGATTTAATTAGACTGTAACAGTGGGCTGAGGGAGTCAGAGATCAGAATCCAGACTCCAGAGCAAGAGGAGAAAGGGAATCGGGATCAGAATCGAGACTCCAGAGAAGGAGGATGAAGGGGGATTGAGAAGGAGAATGAAGTAGCAGGGGGGAGGAAGAAGCAGGAGGAGAGGCAGAGGAGAGAGACAGGAGTGAATGGAGAGAGGATTGGAATAAACTGCAACTAAGACCAACCAGCCTGGCCCTTGTTTCCTTCCTTCGCCTGCCCATCGCCATCGACCTCCCCGGGGTGGGGGAAGCGGCGTGAGACTACCGAACGTGGGCAGCGGGAGAGACAGAGCCACCGCCGCTGCTGTCTTTTTTGAGTTTACACAGACAAGAGAATGTCAGGCATGTCTTTTGAGTAACTATTTACTGTCTGACTTCTGAATTTCTCTTCATAACCAATCATACCTACCAATGTTTCAGAGGAAAAGCAACGCCGATTCTGACAAAGCAGTCACTCGCTGGTTGCCCACTCAACAAAGTTGCCCTCAGGATAGATTTCAGAATTATTAGAGAGCTGGGGAGAGAAACTGACAGGGTGAAGCAAGTCATGAGACCAGTCGAGAGACCAGTCCTCAAGTGATGAGCAAGCCTGGCTGTGTGTGAGAACACAGGAGGCAAACACCAGAGACCTGCTGGGGAAAGCGAGTACTCAGTACTCAGGGGTGGTCACATAGACTAGAAGTGACAACCATGTCCTTCAAGGTAAATGACAGGGTGGGAGAGATAGTACAGCGGGGAGGGCACTTGCCTTGTACAAGAACAACCCAGGTTTGATCCCAGCATCCCATACAGTTCTCCGAGCACTGCCAGGAGTAAACCCTGAGCATTGCTGGGTTTGCCCCTCTGCCCCCCCCCCCCACAAAGGGTGTATAATATAAACAGTGGCATGGAATCCAAAGAGCTGATCAGCATTTCAGGGACATGAGCCCTGGGTTCCATCCCAGCACTGCCAGGGAATAGCCCTGGTGCCGCTCAAAACTAACAACAGAGTTGCACATCCACCTAATGGCCCATCAGTGAAAAATGATCTGTCAGGTGCTGAAGGAATAACTGTGAGAGCCCACTCGGAGGTGGAAGAAGCCTGCCACTGCGGTTCCACTCCATGACGCACTGAGGAAGGCAGTACCAGGAGCAGGGAGAGTGTGTTGAGCAGGATGGCACAGGGGTATTCACGGCGGGGGCCTCTGGACAGTGTTGAAACCAGACAACACAGATGCACAGACCTAACGTAGACAGGGGTCTACTGTTAACAATGCTGCAGCTTCTCACTCCTTAGTCACTGCGCTCAGGCAAGACACCAGGGATGGTGCGAGATCTGAGAAGGGGTGGGGCAGAGAGCCAGACACATGCTCGTCCAGTGAACCTCTTGTTAGTTTTCAGCATACCAAAAACTGCTCCCCAAAATGGTCTATTAAAGTTTTAAAAGTAGATTAATAATTTAGTTTATGAATAACATACAACATGAATATATAGATGAAGGCTTTTAAGAGCAAAAATATGAAAATAGCCCAGAAAGCTGGAGATCACGTGGTACATGCAGAGGCTCAGACTTGCTCCCCTGCACTGCTGGGTGTCTCCCTGGAGACCAGGCTACCCCTGGAAGCAGCCCCTGAGCCCCAGGAGCACTGCTTGGACGCACCCCAGAATATGAAAATCCTCTTCAGAAATGATGGATGACATTAAACTCTAAATGACGGAAGACAAATATGATTGCCACTCATTGCCTCTTTTGCAAACCACAACACCCAAAAGGAGAGAGAGAACAAAAGGGAATGCCCTGCCACAGAGGCAGGGTGGGATGCGGGGGGATAGGGGGGTGGGAGGGATACTGGGATCTGTGGTGGTGGGAAATGGGCACTGGTGGAGGGATGGGTATTTGATCTTTGTATAAATGAAACCCAAGCACAAAAATGTGTAAGTCTACAACTGTACCTCATGGTGTCTCACTAATAAAAATGAAAAAAAAAAAAGATGGAAGACATTCAACTCTGTGTGCCCACATGACGGCCTGGCTAAAGGCATGAAATGGGGTGGGGGGGTCAGGATAGGTCTGAAACTACTGTCAACCCCAAGGTGGGTACTATGACATATGAGCGGGACATCTCCCTGTGTGCTCAGAACACTAAGTCCATTAGGAGAAAGATGAGAAAAAAGAGCGACTTGGAAACCTTCTCCACGTCAGTAGCAATCAAGGAAATGCAAGTTATGAAGTATCATACATACTAAGTCGGTAATAAAAACACTGATATCACCTGAAAAACTTCTTAACAATGAGATTATCAGTGTTACTGCTGGCAGTGAGAATTGATCCAGTAACCACTTTGGCACACAACTTTGGCAAATGTTTTAAGACTCATGGAATTACTTTGTGATGCAGAAACACAGCTTTGGAAATTTAACCTGAAAAATAATATGAATAGCTATAATCAGAAAGACATAAAGGACATAGCTGTCTGTTAATTATATACGAATATTAGAAAATAAACACACATCTCTGTGATGGGAGTGGTACCCAGGAATCAGGAGGCAGTGGGAGGCAGTGGGAAGACACCGGGAGATGTCACGAGGCTCCCAGAAGTCCCCCAAGGCAGTCCAGCTCAGGGAACCCACAGAAGGGACAGGCCTGGGGAAGGGAGCAGGCTGGTACTAGTGGTACAACCAAGCTGTATCCACACCCCAGGCTCACTTCTGGGTGCACACCACCCCCAGAAGCAAGATTGACGGTGCCCCCGGCACTATGATGCATGCTAGGAAGCTGAGTGAACCCCAGGACGGGACTTTTTGTCGAGAGACTCAAAGATCTTAAAGCGTACCCTCTCTTTCATCAACAAGATTTTATTTCATAAAAATCACAACGTACTTTCACATACTCTGTGGCGTTCACCCTCTTTACCATGCTATAAACTACTGAAAACACACAAATATTTCCCACCTTTAACCTCTGGCCGAACTGTGTGGACAGCAAAATAGTGCAGAAGTGTAGAAGTACTGCGCCCACGGGTATGACAGGCCACTCTGGCATAGGAGACAGGGATACCATGGGTGTGCTGAGTGGAGGGCAGTGGGCCTGAGGTCGCTCCTGACACGAAGGACTGTCTGTGTAAGGAAACCTGGGGAAGGCCTCTGTGTCTGTGCACAGGCCCTGGGCTCGAAGGTGCCAAGTGCATGCTGTGCACTCAGCTCCCCAGCACACATGGGTCTCTGTGGGGTCTCTGTAGGCACATCTGGGTGTGCACGGGGAGGTGGACCCGTGCTCTTGGGTCACAGCAAAAAGAGCTTGGCTGATGCCATCCATACATTTCTGAGACTTGCAGCTCTCGTGGAGCCCAGGAAAGGTCCCACTTGGTAGCCCTAGTGCCCAGTGCCCCTCCCGGGTTTGGCAAACTTCTGCTGTGTCCCCTGGAGACAGACCACAGGAGAGGGAAAGGTGCTTACTGGGGTCCCTGCTCAGATGCTGGGAAGCCCAACTCCCAGGTCCTGCTAGGACACAGTAAGCAGCGGCTAGGTTGGGGGGAGCTGGGGAAGGGGCTAGGCGGGGCTCTCTGGCCAGTGCATGGAAGGCTGACTGGAAACTGGTGTTTAAGTGGCTCCTGCCAGGGACAGACCTGAGTAGTGCTGGTGTCAGGGATTAAGAGAGGTGGGGGTTCTGCTGCCATAGCCCCCATGTCAGCAGACACTTCCCTGACCCCTGGCCTTAGGAGCCTGTTGTGGGGTGTCCCTCCTCTCTGGTTCCCATCCTCCAGTCAAGGCAACAACATCGCCTCTCCCCACCCCCCACCGCATGCTGTGTCCAGGGTCCTGGTGCTCGCTGGGTGACGGGCTGATGCTGATGATATCGGGGTCTCAGGCAGGACTGGGCCAAGAGCCTTGGAGCTGTGACCGCATGGGGGAGCGTCTGTGGTTGTGCTCGAGCATGTCTTGGGTTTTGCTGGGAGGTCTGAGCAGGCCAGAGGCGGGAGCTGCTCACACAGCCGACAGGTTCACTCGCTGGGGAGACGGGCTGTTCTTGTCCCAGGGGTTGGGCTTGGGCAAGGTCACGCCTGGCCGCGCCCCGTTCACCTGTGAGCACAGAGCCATGAGTGTGACATGGCTCCCCACCGGGGCCCTCCACCCCAAGGGGAGAGGCAGAAGGGGCCACAAAGTAACTGTCCAGGAGCCCTCTCAGAGCGTGTTCAGTGTTCCTGAGGGCCTCTGGGAGGCAGTGGTGCAGGGAGAAGCCTTCTGCTGTCACTGGGGAGAGGGGGAATGGAGGGAGGAGAAAGTGACTGATTAGGCCTCGGCGGGGGGACCCCGGGCAGAGAGGAATCCTGCGCTGGGCTGCCCACTGCTGCCTCCGGAGACCTCGGCGTGGCCAGAATCTCCCTTTTGGGTGACAATCTGTAGGGCCTGTCACCCCCTAAATCAACACAGGAAGTACTGAGGCTGAGGAACAGGGTGGGAGGTAAGTGACATCGGTTCAGAGTGTGGAAAGGGCGAGAAAAACCAGTGGCCATAGTCTCACCTCCTCCACCTGACCTGACCCACTGCTGGCACAAGCCCAGCCTGCAGGGGATGAAGCGGAAAGGCAGAAGGAAGCTGGCAGCAGCTCTGCAGCCTGGAGGCACAGCAGCAGCCGGTGATGAGAGCAGAAGTGGGGGAGGGGCAGGGGACCCACTCACGATGTCTGAGGTGGTGAAGGGCTTCCCAGTGGCGTTGCGGGCGGAGCTGCTGGTGAGGGACCAGACCTTGGTTTTGTGCTTGAAGGCGGCTCTCACCTTGGAAGCAAAGAGAAGCTGGAACTGCCTTCTGCTTAAGGAGCTGCCCGGGTCCAACCCGAGGCCTCAGAGGAGCAGCCCTCACCCCATCTCCTGATTGTAAGAGCCTCTCTGTGCTCTCCGGGGAACAAGAACCCCCACCTCTCCGTGTGCTCCGGAGACCTACCTCTGAGTTCAGCACGCAGTGGAAGAGGAAGATGAAGAGGCCCTGGAGAGGGAGAGGACAGAGAATCAGTCACGTGCGTCTGGTCCTACACAGACCAGGTCTGAGATGGGCACAGCCACACCTGAGGCTGGCAAGGAGTCAGGTGACAGGGCCTGATGACCCAGGGACAAGGACCTAACCCAGGCTGCGAGGCAGTTGTGGCATGGGGCAGATCAGCAGATTCTCTCAGGAGAAGCCAACACACCGGGGCTGGACAAAGGTGAGGACATGCAACAGACAAGCGGAGCCACACAGTCCTCCTCTGTGGGCTGGGGTGATGACAATGACATGTAACCACAGAGGTGTCCCCAAACATGTAGGGATGGGGGCTCTGGCACCCTCAGGACAGATGTTACCCAAGAGCAGCTCTGAAGGGGTCCTGCCACCCGCTCTGATGGGGTGGGGGGGCATTGAGACACGGGAGGGTAGACTGGGCTGTGGGGCTGCGGCCAGGACCTTCCTGGCAAGGAGCTGGAAGGAGGTTGTGCGGGAAGCCTGGCTCTCACACCTCTGTGCGGAGGGCCGCGCTGTGGGGCCACCCTGGTCCCGTGCCTGGCTCCCTTTAGTATACCCCTCACAAGCCCCCCAGAAGGCTCCCCCAGCACCAGGCAGGTGGCAGCTATGGGTTCGGCCCAGGTCCTAGGTGCCCTCGGGCTGTGTACCACAGGTGTATGCAGGTCCTGCACCCTTACCTGGGAGGAGTTGAGGATGGCAAACAGGTACTGGAAGACCACGGCCTGGCTGTTGACAGCAAACACCCCGAAGACCCACGAGGTCCCCAGGATGGGTAGCAGCACTGCCACCGCCTTCACGGTCAGCCTGTGGAGAGGGGGGCACTCTGGGTGGGAAGGACATGTCCTAACCCCTGCGGGGCCACTGTTGTCACCAGCAGGTAGGTCTGCGACATGGGAGGGGTCTGTGGTCCCCAGGCAAAGCTCAGTCTCCTTTGCTGTTGCCCGCCCTGCCCCCTGCCACCCTGGCGGATCTGATCAGCAACCCTTGGGCAGCAAATGATCTGTGGCACGCACTTGAAGACGCTGGGGTCTCCACGCAGCTTGTAGTTGTCAGAGCTGATCTGAGCGATGACCCTGGTCACAGCGATGAGGATGCCCGCATTGACCTGGACAAGGAGCATGGCAGGGTCAGGTCAAACCCCATGTCCTGAACACCTGCCCACTGCACACCTCCATGCAGCACCCCAGAGCCACACTGTGTCCCCAAGAGGGGACAAAGGCCCTCTGTGCCCAGCAGTCTGCAAGGAGAAGTGGGTCAGAGACCCGTGGTACTCGGGACTGGCCTCAGTTTCCCTGTGGGGTGATGTGGAGTCCAGACACCACCAGCCTCGTCCCCCCTTCTCACCCCAGGGCTCCCCTCTGCCCAGGGCCTCCGGCTAGGAGTCTGCCAGGGGTACCCATGATCCTGGGGCAGCCGGACTATCAGAGGCTCCACACACCAAGTGCCCCTGCAGCTGAGCTCCAGGGTCCTGGCAGGGGCTGAGGTAGACCCCACCCCTTGAGGACAGGAGCTATGCTGTGCTGACCTTCCGGTGCCTTCTTTATTCCAGACTTGCCACACCCAGAGGTGCCTCCAAGAACTGTGCAGTGTGGGGGATTGATCCTTCAGGGCAAACACCTTGAGCCTTATACTTCCTGTGCGGCCCAAACTGTCCTTTGTTTCTGGAACAGTCTGAGATCACTTACCCCTCCCTGCACCCCCACTGTGGTTATGCTAAAACCTGACCCCACCGGGGTACCTTCAAAGCCTCCTTCTGGGGCCCAGTCTGGTGCCTTTCTGAAGCACCTCTGTAGATACCCACTTCTCCACTCAGTCCAGAACTTTCCCCTCCAGGATTCACCATGGTCTCCTCAGCTCCTGGGCCCACAAGGAGGACTGTCAATGGCCAGAGCCCCACTGTCCCCTAGGACCTACTCACAGAAGCGTCTTGTTTTCTGTGTGGGGTGTCAGGACTGACCCCCAGGACAGTTCATCTTGGAGGAGACGATGGCTGTCTCCAGCCTCCTCACCTCACACCTGCAACAGCCCAGCAAGGCCCCTGGTCACAGATGCCTCGGGAACCAGTGGGGACCACGCTTGGGCAGTCGTGGAGGAGAGGGGACACCCACAGCACACAAGGGAGGCCCAAGAGTGAGAACAGCACAGGTTGTTACAAAGTGTGGGGGGGAGAGGTGAGGAACAGACCCAGTGGAAGAACCACAGGCCCAGACATGCCGCCCTCTCAGGATTTTCTTAGAGAAAACCAGAACTTTTGGGCCTGAGTCACTTTCTCAGCTTCTTTCTCAAATCTTGAATCTCCTTCTTCCAGTCACAGCCATGCTGAGGGGGTAGCACTTGCTGAGGCATCTGCCCTCTGCAGGCCCCACTCCTTCTCACTAACGTACCCCACATCCCACAGTTGATACACAAACAACCTAAATACTCCAGGCAGTGACCTGGAGCTGACAGGACCAGAGGCCAGCCCACGAGAATGATGTGGACTCACACAAACACCAGACACACAAGAAATTCCAGCTGCGAGACCTGTCCCAGGACTTTGGAGAAATCAGGGAGTCAATGAGACACCTCACCTCAGCCCTCCCCCAGCAACCACGGGGCCCCGAGTCCGAATGACTTGGCTCTGTGGGAGGCCAGGAAAGCTGTGTGCTCCCGGAGGGGTAAACCTAAGAACAGTTGATCCAGCTGTGACGTGGTCCTGACAGGACCAAATCATAATAAAGGTTTCCCAGTGACAGATGCCATGAGTGAGTAACCACGAGAGAGAGATTTGAGGGCTCTGGTTCTCCTGTTCTCTATTTGAGAGTGAGACGGCTATGTTTCCACAGCATTTAAGTGTTCGTGTCACTGGTTGTGACAATCCATCATTGTTCCCTTTTCTCTGAAGGCTCTGCAGTGTCTATTTGTCTTCCTGTCTCTCCAGGCCAGGGTCTGTGTGATTTCATCTGACACGCATGGTCTCCCCAGAGCACAAGGCTCATGCTGGCTGTGGTTAGGGAGAGGCACAGCACCCCTTTGACTCCGCATCCATCTGCAGTTGCACAGGAGATGGTGTGGGAGGAAGGCTCATCTGCTGCTCCACAGAAACACAGGCTCCTGGTCCCACAGGCTCCGGGTCCTACAGGCTCTGGGTTCCATAGACTCTGGGTCCTACAGACTCCAGGTCCCCCAGACTCCAGGAAAGAGCAGCTGATCAAAATTGGTCATACCCAGTAAAGAGCAGCCAATCAGAACATTCCACTCTAATCTATGGAAGGTGAGCCAATGAGAACATGCCATGCCCAGTGGAGACCAGCCATGGCGGTCTAAATATGCCCCCACGAAAACCAGCCAATCAGAACATTGCTCTTTCAGCCCCCTCAGAGTGGGGGAGGGGTGCAAAGTTCCCCGAGGAGGCCTTTAATAACAGAACACAATCCCAGACTTTTATGGGAACTGCAGGTTTGCAATGGCAGCTGGAGCAATGGTGGGTTGGTGTGAACCAGGAGCTGTTGTGATGGGGGAACGTTCCTGGCCAAGCACAGCGAGGCACGGAGCCCCTGCAGTCGAGCCCAAGTGTCTGTCGACACAGCAAGGCACGGAGCCCCTGCAGTTGAGCCCAATCGGCTGGATGAGCCACGCTGGATGCAAGCCACGCAGGGGAAGGTGGGACCCAGACATTTGGCACAGCCTGGGACGCACCATCTAGGCTGGGAAGAGGAATCAGAGTGGAGCTGGGACGGAGCACTGTCCAGTGGGGTACCCGAAGCATCTTCCCGAGCACTTGGGACCACAGTGCCAAGAGGCTGAACCTGGTAGGCTCCACTGCCTGGCCCCACATTGCCCCCCAATGGTGCCCTCACAGCAAGGAACATACCACAATGACGAACAGGGCGGGGCCCACAAAGGCCCAGATGGCACCACTCTCCAGAGAGAGCCAGCAGCTGTGGAAGAAGAGGAAGGTCAGTGACCCGGGCCCTCAATTCCACACAACAGCCATGGTGGCAGGTCGGTCTTATGAACATTGTCACTCCAACTCACTGCTGGTGACCCAATTCTCATTCTTGGGAAGAATTTTCTAGGGCTGCAAAGCATCTCAGGGAAAAGAGGACTTTCCCATGTTCAGTGAGAAAGGTCTGGATCATGACAGTGTAGCAAGCTCAAAGTGGGTTTTAATCTCATTAAGGACACAAGAGAATTTGACAGGAAGCTTCCCTGGTATCAAGGATTTATGAGTATGAACCTACTGGGTCACCGGGGTGCCACAGGGGCAGTTGCCATGGGCAGTTATGGGACAAGTGGGTCAGGCATCCCTTCATGACAGTCCCCAAGCCGAGAGCAAAGCATCAGGTGAACCCCAAGCTAGCCCCCATGCTTCTGAGGCACCTCCTCTGGAATGGAGGGTTCAGAGGAGGTGACTCAGCACAGCAGCCCCTCTGCATTGAAAGGGGCTTTCAGAGTGACACATGATGCGGGGCTGCTCCATGTGGTGCAACCCTCACATGCTCCTTCAAGACTGCTGGGGTTGTGCGAAGGGAAGTTCGCGCTCGCCCACATTTACACGCAGGCTCCATCCATGTATATCAGGCTGTGCTTCCTCAGCCTCTATTGCCCCCTGAGCCAGAATAACAAGGCCAGAGCCATGTGCGCTGACAGGGAATGGCTCCAGCTTCTAAATGAAGGGAATGGGCCAAACCATGGTCTGGCCCTCACCCTGGTTATAGCATGTCCCGGCAAGACCTCTCTTTCATAGCTCCATCATCCGTAAATTGTTGCACTAAAGGACGAAAGGTTAGATTCCTTTGGGTTAGCAATGCTACCCCAAATCATCTCAGCCTGAAGACTCCGAGATGCTCGGGCCCCTGCTGACTCCCTCTGTGGCCCCCATGCAGAGCTTCCTCTGCTGGCTGAGAGAGGCAGCAGCTGCACAGGAAAGCGCGTCTCTCCGTGAAGGAACATGTTGCTGAAAGACGTGCCCCAGCAGGCTCTCACGGCACGTCCTTGCCCCGAGTCGACCATGGGATGGAGGGTGCTGCATGCGCAGATGGGGCAGGGGCACTCGGCTGACCTCCGCCCTAGCCAGGCCTGCCTGTGTGGGCCTTCCCGGGCCAGTGCTCCCAGCAGCCACCCGAAAGACATCATTCCACTTACTTGTTGCTTGTCCCGTAACTGTCCATGGCAGATGATATTGTAATGATGCAGATCAGGAGGGGAAATCCTGCAGAGAGAAGGGCCCATCACTACTCCAGCCTTTCTGCTTTTCTGTTCATCTTGTGCCTGGTGTGTCCAAGAACTATGCCCGAAGTGCTGAGGAGTCCAAACAGCCTCGGAGCCTCACATGGCAATAGAGGAAGAGTGTTCACACATGTACACGCGCACGAATGGGTGTGACTCATGCACAGCAGACATGGAACAAATGGCATGTATGAGAGGTGGTGCTCGCTGCTGCAAGGACAGAAACTCGGGCGCTAAGGGCTGTGTTCTACTCCCTGACATCAAACTACACCACAACAGCAGAGCAATCAGAACATCATGGCACTGGGGAAAAGGGAACACGTGCTTATGGGGCAACCAGTCGACAAGAACCAGGACTACATTGTGCAGCGGAGTGGGTCTCTTCAGTGAACAGTGGAGGGGGAGGGGGCCACTGACTGCGAAAGGAGGACCCTTGACCACAGTCAGACTCCGGGACCAGAAGCCGAGTCTGAGAGGTTAGATGCTTAGACGTAAGACAGAACTCCACTGGGTACATGAAGGAGCCGTGGGGCCTGTGTGAAACATCAGCCTTGCAAAGGCTCAGGAACGCTCCGCCTACAAGGGACACAAAAGCAAAAAGAACCAAATGGCTTCTGGACAGCAAGAGAAACTTTCAGGTGAAAAGACAGCCGACGGCTGAGAGAATGGCTGTCATCCGGAAGATGGTGGTCAGGTGGGCAGAGCCCAGGCACTGTGTGTGGGAATGCTGACGGGCAGCTACACAGAACAGCGTAGCTCCCTCTTAGAGACAGCCTAGGAAAGACATACCTTACAATCCAGCAAGCCCAGTCTAGGACAGGGACAGGCGAGAGGGGCCTGTGCAGGGTGGAGGAAGTCAGAGAAGGGCAAATGCACCAGGATTTCGCTCATGTGCAAGGCACAGACACAAACCAAACCAAGTTTTGAGACTCTAACAGCAAACTGTGGTGACCAGAGACGACGGGGATCGGTATGGCTGAAGCACACACAGGGTCAGTTCTGTGGACGGGTGGAAAGCAGATGCCTGACGGTCTCAGGGTGGAGCAGACGCACGTGAAATGTGTGCCACAGTCCAACATCTCACTGCCGTGAAAACTTCAATACCGGTGCCAACTTACGAGTCTTTTCCTCGAAATAACATTTTGTGTAAATTGATAGTTTTCAACAAGGGCCAGTTTTATCCCTCAGGGGGACATTTGGCAGCACCTGAGGACTCTGTAGCTGTCAGTTTGGGGCCAGCACTGCCCAAGAAGCCTGGAATGACTGAGGTGTGAACTGTGGCACCGGGGAGTCTACCCTGGCATCCTGGCACCTGAGGGCGCTGGTGGCAAGGTGGGGGAGTGGTTCACGTTCCCAACCATTCTCAGGACCCAGCTGGCACCATTATGCTCTGTTCCAGTGACCAGCTCCTGTCCTGTAGCAAAGGTAACCAAGCCAAGCTAAGAGAAATGCCTGGTCCCGATCATGGGTGTGAACGTGGCCTGTGCATGTGGCCCTGGAGGAACCACTGAGGGACCCTGGGGGATGGGTAGGGGCAGCCGAGCTGCCAGGACAAGGCAGGGCTCCTGGGACCAACCTCAAGAAACTCAGATCCCAGAGACGGAAAAGGAGGCAAAAGCCTGACACCAGGATTCGCGCTATCCCGGAACTCACACTTAGTCCTGACTTGTTAGAGGAGCTGCTGAATTTGTCCCCTGGAACTGAGGGTGACAAGAAAGTAAATAAAGCTTCGAACTGGCAACTGCCCAAGCATCAATCTTACTTCAAGAAAGGGATTTTCTATGGGCAAGTGACCTGAGGGATGAGGCCCGAGTGTGTCACCCTGTCAGCTTCCGAATCAATGCTGGCCTATTTCACGGATTTCCTGAAAGGGAATCAAGCCACAGCATTTCCGACTCAGTACCCAGGGACTAGGAATGTGCTAATCACATGACACACACACATGTGCAACCCTACAACCCTACATCACACATGTGTGCAGGCACATACCCAACCTCACTCCCACACATGTGCACAAACGCAAGTGACAACACACCCACAGGCTGTATATGTACACACACACATCATACACCGCACATGCGAGCACAGGGACCCCCACACCACCGCTGTGAAGCTGTCTTTTGTGGGAGCAGCCTCTGCCCAGGGGAGTTGCTCAGGGCATCAGTCGAGAGCTCACTGTGCCCTGGGCATCTCGACCACAGCTCCACGAGGCCGAGTCACTCATTCAACACCCCCCCCCCCCCCCAGCCACGCAGTGAGAGCTGGAAGGGGAGCCTGGAGCTGTGTGTGTGTCTCCTTCTCAGGAACCAGGCGCCCCACCCTGGAACCGCAGTGTCAGGCAGTGAGGCGGTCAGCACAGTGGGGGACAGACCGTCCTGCGGGCAAGGGATGACTCCAACCCTCACTACAGCAGAACGTGAGGAGAGCAAGCAGCCCCAGAGCCACTGACCCACAGCTCTCCTCAGAGGCCCCCACGCCCGCGGGCACAGACAGCAAACAGGAGAGGCACTGGCAGACCCTAGAAAGCTGCTGCACCTGAGAGGCTAACGTCTGTGCCCCAACAACTGCCAGTCGGCCACCCTGGGGGGTGGGGAGAGGACACGCATTTGCCTGTCCTTATCCTCAGGTAAGATCATATCATCCCCTCCCCCTCCCCCATCCCAGTCCCCTCCCCCTGCACCACCATCACCCTGCTCCTGCCCCTCCCCCAACCCCTCCCCAGTCAGGAACTATCAGCTCCCCTGCCACTCTCCCCCCATTCTCCCTCCCCCCACCTACCCCAGCCAATCCCGTAGTAGCAGAGGTGCTGGCTGTCCTCGGAGCCAAAGACCTTGATCACCAGGCTGTAGAGGTGCAGCCCCTCCACCAGCATCCAGGCGAAGGCACTCAGGAAGAAGTAGTGCAGGAGCACGGCCAGCACGCGGCACGGGATCTGTGGCAAAGCACACGGTTGTCCTGGGCCAAGCCCCTCCCAGCCTCCCTGCCCCCCTCTTCTGGTACCCTCCAGCCACCTGATTGCAGGTGCTTCCCTGGGGTCCTGACTCCCCCTCAGGTTCATGTGACTAGGTTGGGGCATGTGACCAGGCACTCTGGGGACACAGGGGGTCTCCCTGCTGAAGAAGGAAGCGGTGCTCACCGTGCCCGACTCCAGGTGGAAGGTGACGAGCAGCAGGACCTGGCCCACCAGCACAGCGAAGGACAGGTTGGCATGAATGTGGTAGCGCTGGTTCCGGATGGTGCTGACAGACCTGCGCGAGGCCACAGGTCAAGCCCCCTCCACCCCATCCCCTCGGGCTTGCAGACCCACTGCCCCACCTGGGAAGGCCTCTGCCTCGCACTGTTGTCCTGGCCAAAGCCTGGCACTTGGGACCTTTCCGGAGCCTCCCACAGCCCTCCTTTCTCTCTGCAGTACCCTGGGCGCAGGACTCACGACAGGACAGCGAAGGTGGCCAGGGTGGCCACCAGGCACAGCACCGACAAGGAGCAGCCCACGTAGCTGATGGAAGACAGCGCCACCTGGTGTCCACGGGCCAGCTGTGCAAGAGCATAGGGGTCAGCGCCTCGGAAGGGATGAGGGTGCAGGCCCCCACACTCGGCCGCCTTCTGTGCCAGGCTTTGAACACGCCAAGGTCATCAGTGAGTCCATGAGAGGACACGGGGCAGTGGGGTGGCCACGGGGCCTGGAGTGGGGGCCTGGAGTGGGGGTATGGTCACTCACACATCTTCGGGTCCCTCCATCGCCACCCACCATGTCCCACTGTTCTCTGAGCCTGATCCCCACCTCCTTCCACAGTCCCTCTCCTCAGAGATGGGGTCTCCAAACACCCTATCACCTCTTCCTGCCGTGGCCCAGCCACCTTAGCCACTGAGGTGCTCAGCGAGACCCTCCCAGTCACACAGCAGGAACTAAATTTCCCTCTGCGGAAGCAAGAGGCCAGGTCACTATCAGAACTGCCATGGCCCAAGCGCTGCCATGGGCACAGGACAAACACTCGAAGGGGCCTGAGGGGCACCTGCCCCAGCCGCAGTCAGGAACACCCTGCAGATGCAGAAGGATGCAGGTGCCCAGAAGGTGCTGCCCTGAGGGTCCTGCAGGGTGTCTGGGGAACAGCCCCAGGTGCCATGATGACACTGTGTCTCTCAGGCAGGGCTGGGCCAGGGACTGTCCCCAACTCCTTATAGAGACATGGTATCTGGGAAAGGACTCTCCTGTCTCTCCCCAGCTCGCCCCCAGCCCAGGGAACCCTCGAGCCCCGTATCCCACCCTTGGAGTGGATGGGCTGTGAGGTGACACTCAGCAGCTCTGCGGAGGGGTGGGTGGCTAGTCTATGCCCTTCCTCTGGGGCCAGCCTGGATTTAGAAAGGTCTAGAAAAGCCTGCCTGGCTGCTCTGAGTCACAGACCACAAACCCAACCCGGGGGCGGGGGGGGGGGGGCAGCCCAGAGACAGTGCCTGCTCCTCTCCTGGCCCGGGAGCCTGAGGTCAGGGCACAGACTTGCCCCCAAGTTCCCTTTCACAGCCAGGCCACGGCCTTACACAGAAGAACCTCCGAATGGGATCAGGGGAGAGGGCAGGAGGCTGCCAGGGGGAGGCCAAGGACCGCCTGGACTCCTGGGCCTGAACGCCCATAGGCAGTGCAGAGCCCACGGGTCCCAGCCCACGGGTCCCAAGACCCAGCACTGTGCCACCTCACTCCAGCCCAGGGCCTCTGGGCAGCGGCTCCCCCAAGAGGAGGAGAGCCCTGAGCGCTTGGCGTGCCCTGCACAACCCCCAGTCCCTGGCAGCCACAGGCCCACATGGGTGTCCTGCAACATGTCAGCCCCACCCATATATCCTACCCTCCTGCCAGCTCTGCCCGTGAGTCAGCCCCTTCCCATCTAAGTCATGCCCACCCGCCCACCTGTTCTACAGTTCGCTGTCAGCCCACCAGCTCACAGGTCAGCAGGCCCAATCAGCCTCACACGCCCAAGTTCAACCCCACCCACTCAACCCTGCCCATGTCTCAGCCCCGCCCACCTATTCTGCTCCATGTGACCTGCCCATGCATCAGCCCTGCCTTCTGTCAGCCCCTTCCCACCCAGTGTGCCCAGGCCTCAGCTCTTACCTCCAGGGGCACCACCTGCATCAGAATGGCGAAGTTGGTGAGGTGCGTGCAGCGGCAGGTGGAGAAGCTGAGGTTCCCCTGGATCAGCGCACAGCCCTTGTCGGACCAGACCCCTTCTCCGGAGCTGGGGATACGGGCCAGTCAGCAGAGCCTGTGCCATGCCCCAGCAGGCTCGGGAGCAGCAGGGGTCAGGCCACCCAGGTCCTCAGGCACCCGCCCAGCACTGTCCCGTCTCCTCTCGCCATGCAGGGATAATTTTATGAAGGTGGCAGGGGCTGGGCCAGGCCAACCACATGTACCACGGCCCCCCCAGGGAAAGAGCACATGTGCCCCCTGGGCCTGTGTGGTGATGGCGGGGCAGGGCCAGAAACCCTGCAGAGGACGACTGTCTGTGTGAGGAGCCCGGGACAATGAACATGACTTTCCCCAGGACAGACTCGCCAGTTGGATGTTCGGTCTCAAGCAGTTGCAAGTCAGGGCAAATGTGGGAAGGTGAGAGGCAGGCTACTCTGAGGAACCCCTCCACAGGAGGGGCGCCCCCATAGGAGATGCCGGGCTGCCCTCAGCATGCCCCCAACCCCCCCAGGAGGTGCCCTCCAAAGATGGTGCTGTACACAAGTCGGACAAGCCATAGCCGATTGGGTTGATTCCTAGCGCCTGGGATTGGGGGGTTCCTGGTGAGAGATTCTGTCATTGGCCATGGTTTCAGGTTAAACAGAAAGGGAGGGAGGGAGAGAAGATGCGCATTTCAGTGGCTCTTCCCCTGAAATTGCCATTCAGAGTTTTTAAAGGCACGTCTGGGCTCCAGCCGGGCCCTGGGGACCCGTTTTGAGAAGCAGCCGGGCAAAGGCTCCCATTTCCTTTGCTCTCGCTTCAGCTTTAATGTTCTGTCCTGTGCCGCAGGACAGCAGCAGATGAGAGATGTGGCCTCCGGGACTATGCCCAAGGTAGGAAGCTGCAGGGAGGGTCACTTGGAGGTGACTCTAGGAGGGGCCTATTGGGGAAGTGGCCCTTGGCCTCCCCTGGCTGGGGGAACCATGGCAGGGACTCGGGACAGCAAGGCAGGTGTCTGGTCCAGACCCAAGGTCAAAGAAATGGTAGGGAGGGGCTGGAGTGATAGTACAGCAGGTAGGGTGTTTGCCTTGCATGTGGCCGACCCGGGTTCGATTCCCAGCATTCGGTGGGGTCCCCTGAGCACCGCCAGGAATAATTCCTGAGTTCAGAACTAGGAGTAAGCCCTGTGTGTCACTGGGTGTGACCCAAAAAGTAAAATATAAAATAAAAAAAGTAACAGTGGGGACACCCATGAAGGTCACAAAATGACAACCCGAGGAGCAAAACTACATGGGTTGAGCAGGTGCTTTAGGCCTCAAGACACGGTGACCATAACCCTTCCTTAGGGATCAAAATTGGAGCCAAATTAGCCACAAAATATATCCCAAACTTGGAGAGGAAGAGAACCCAACAAACAAAGAGCAATTGGAAGCAGTGGCAAGCGGGGAGATTGAGGATGCCAATGACATCAGTTTAGTAGGAATTACCTAAACATTCTCATTAAAAGCAGAAAAATTCAGGTTGGACTAAAACCGCGATGGAGCTAGAAAAAGCAGGATGACATGGAAGTTGAAATGAAAGCGGGAAAGAACTCACACAGGCACTGAAGCCACAGTTGAGCCGAGGTGGGCCATGTGGCTGTGTACCTGACGCAGGCCAGGAGGACAGACAAGGGCGCTGGTGGGTCACAGCTCCTTCCCCAGACCTTCCTGAGGAAGGTGCCAGCAGCAGGGACTCCGGATGGAGGGAGGGGAGAGGGAGGAGGTGGCAGAAGCCCACACGTGGACACTACCTCAGAGGCACAACCTGGGCCACAAAACAACTGCTCACAAATTCAGTTCAAAAGAATTGAATTTAAGTAAGGAAAATTTCAGATCACAAAAATATTTCCTGAGAGGTCATAGTGGAACGATCTCTGGGAAATTCCCACCTATCTGGAATAAACTGTGCTTTGAAACAGCACCCAGGCTGAGGAGGATGGCCCCAGTGCGTGGAGAAAAGGTTTTAATTTTATGAAGGTGAGAACCCATCTGGGACCTGAGACGAGGCCGTGAGCCCAATTTTTGTCCCTACCTGGACCCTGGGACAGAGGGCAGGAGGGCAGCAGGGAGGTGGCCGGATTTGGAGTGAGGACTGGTACAGTACAGGGGAGGGAAGGATTCCTGAGCCTGGAAGGGCAGCCAGCAGCTAACAGCAACCCACACTGCAACACATCCCTGCCACAGCACACACACACCATGTCACACCGCAGCACACACACAACACACACATAGCACGCACACAGCATGTCACACCACAGCACGCTTGCAATGTAGCAGGTCCATACTAAAACACATGCATACCACACACACAGCATACACACAGCACAGTCACACCGCAGCACACCCACAATGTGGCATGTCTGTACTGCAGCACACACATACCACAGCATACACACAGCATGTCACACCATAGCACCACGTTGTGCAGGTCTGGGCGGGGCAACTGTGAGAGTCCCAGCCCCTGGGACTCTGGGAGTGTCCGAGCCCCAGCTCCTGCGTGGCCTGAGAACCAGGCCTCAGTGTATGGGTCCTGGGTTGTGTCAGCCCCTTCCCCAGCACCCCCGTCGCCAGCCTCCGTACCTGAAGTCCAGGAAGGCGCAGTATAGGAACACACGGTTGCTCTGGTTGGTGGCCGCGCTGAGCTGCCGGTGGGTCTGCAAGGAAAGGGGGTTCATGGTACAGCTGCAAGCAGGTCCCTGCAGCACCTCCCAAGCCTCGCACACATGTGGCTCGCTCAGCAAAACAGACCCTTGGCTCTGCCCCATGCCAGCTGCTGAGACCACACACCCCAGACTGCCTGGGGCAGAGCTTGAAGTGTCACTACCACTCTCCTTGGTGGGTGACGCATGCAGGAACATGCCCATGGCCACTGCCTGATGGCATGTTTCCTGCGGTGAGGAAAAAGACACAGAGACATCCATGCCCTCTGCAGGGACCAAAGGACAGTGTTCCAGTGCCACATCCCCGACCCCCACTGACTGAGCACTAGGGGATGAGCACTTTCTGCCCAAGGCGTCTCTGGTTGCCAGCACACGGTGCTCCCCGAGGGGCTGTCCAGGCTCAGCATACTGTATCAGAGCTGCCCTCTGACCTCAGCACTGCCCGTCTACCACCCCACAGGCTTGGAGAGGACCAGGCACTCAGGTGGAATCCACTGATGCGCAACTCCAGGAAAGAATTTGAAGGGGCAGAGATGGTATGGGGCTGAACACGCAGGGACAGTGAGGGGAGGGGGGCAGGACACACAGGGACAGTGAGGGGAGGAGAGCAGGACACATGGGGACAGAGAGAAGATGGGGCAGGACATATGGGGGCAGGGGACAGTGAGGACAAGGGTCTGGGCACACATCCCCTGTACCTGGGGTGGCCCTTGGCTCCACTATAGGCCCTGGCAGCACTGCACCCTGAACTCGACTACCCAGTCTCCAGGCCAAGGGGACTGAGAGTCAGGAGGTCCCCAAAACCCTCCTCCAAAATGACTATAGGACCAAGCAGCCATAGGAGCCAGAACCGACCTTTTTGGCCCCATTTCCCACCATGGCCAGATGCAGACTCAGGTGTCTCCAGTCCTGGGGACACAGCACCCCCGGCCCCAGAGCACTGGGAGGGCAGCCCCTGCACACCGGAGCCTGGCACAGCCCTGGCACAGCAGCTGGAGGCTCCCTCACAACCCTCAGTGTCTGAGCCTCGTCCCGGCACAGCCAGGCCATCGTGAGTGTAGGGCTCAGGCCCCAGAGAGCTGCACACCTGTATGTGTGCCACAGCAGGGCAAGGACTGGGGCTCCCTCCCCCCTCCCTCCTTTCCCCACCTCCAACTGCAACCCTAATCACTCTCGAAGGAATTTTCCTCAGCGGGGCAGGCCCCAGGCCCAGTGCCCATGTGGCCTGGCTGAGATCTTACCCAGAGTCAGGATCCTCCCTGGCGGAGGCCGCAGAGGGCCAACCCCGAGAGGCTGAGTATGGACAGGCCCCGTGCAAGCAGGCCCTGCATGGTCTACCCGGGCACGTCACAGGGGGTCTGCTGGTTACAGGCGTGCTGAAGGCATGTCTCTGAGTGGGACATGCTCTGTGGCAAGGATGTGTATTACGGGGCCTGTTATAGTGTGTCACAGGCACATCCCCGGAGCATGGCATACACACCCTGTGACCATACTTATATCACGTACATAGCATGCTACAGGCATGTTCCTGGAGCAGTGGTGCCAGAGAAAGACGGCCGTCAACCAGCAGTGAGCCGGTCCTGGGGATAGGGTGCCAGGCACGCCCACAGCAGTGAGCCACCATGACTGGGCACCTTCATGGGCCCTCTGGGACAGGCCCATGCCCCTCAAGGGGCACAACATCCACCTTTAGGGAGACAAAGCCAAGGGAAGTCTGACCCGGGAGACACTTCAAAGGATAGAGCTCAGACCTGGCATGCACAAGTGCCATGCTACACCCCAACACCATGTGGCCTCAGAGCAGCTCTGGGTATGGAGGAGGTGCTCTCCAATACCCTGGCCCAGGATTCTTTGCCCAAGTGACACCAGAAGTGGCCCCAGGGCTGCCATGCACTGCTGGAGCCCCCAGACCCGCCTGAAGAAACTGAGAATTGTAACTGTACCTCATGATGTCTCACTATTAAAAAATTTTTAATTAAAAAAAAAAGAAACTGAGAATTGCTGCATTCACCGAGGCTGCAGAATACAAAATCACTGTCATGTTTGTATTCTAGCAGTAAGTATGTGGACACTGACATCAAAATGTGATTTATATTTGCTCAGAAACCAAAGACGCATGTTAAATCTGGCCAAGCGTGCCTGGGACCCACATGCTAATGCCTAGAAGATGCTGAGGAGGGGAACAAAGAAAACACAAGCTTTTAGAGACGGTCATGTTCCTGGGCTGGAAGCTTCAACCCGGAATAACACACAGGTCGGCTCAAGTGCTCTCATGTCCCCAGTAAGAACTGTGTCACAGACGAGGTCACTCTGAAACACTACCTGAAGGCAAGGGAGGTGGGACAGAGGAGGACGGGGGCTCAGGGCTCAGGATGCCTCTGCAGCTTGCAGACTCATGCAATCAGGATGGGGGGCTGCAGGGGAAGACCAGAGACCCACAGCCCCAGGGGAGAGCCCGAGACAGCCCCTAGAGCACAGCCACCGGCTCCTTGTGAAGAACCGGCACTCAGAGAAGGAACTCCCTGGTTATTCTTCCAACAAACAGTAAGGAGCAACTGGACATCGCAGGCAAATAACATACACATATGCGGACACATGTATTCAGACAAGCCCACGCACAGGTATGCATGTGTATTTGTACACACACACAAATGCATATGAACAACATGCCCCTGAACACATGTGAACGAGATTAAAGGTATACAGAGATAGGTGTGCATGCTCAAATGGTCACACGTGCACATAAACACCTCAACCTAAATCTCCCCTGATATAAAATGTTACTGAAAATAGATCCTGGACTAAATGTTAAATATAAAAAAAAACTTGAGAACATGGGGCCAGAGCAATAGCACAGCAGGTAAGGTGTTTGCCTTGCACACAGCCTACCCGGGTTTGATCCCCGGCATTCCATATGGTCCCCCAAGCACTGCCAGGAGTAATTCCTGAGTGCAAAGCCAGGAGGAACCCCTGAGCATTGCTGGGTGTGACCCACAAAGAAAAAAAAAAACCTTGAGAACATAGGGTAAACATCTTAGGAGATAGAGCCCTATTAAGAGGAATTGGCCTTGATACCAAAAACATTAACCAATTTTTTTTCAAGATCAATAAACTGGATTTTGTAAGAAATGTAAGCTTCAGTTTTATGAAAGACCCCAGGGGTGGTTTTAAAAGCTGCAGACCAGGGGCATGTACTTAGAATCCAAGTGTCTGACCCAAGTCACGTCTTGAATACATTAAGAATCCTCAAAACTCCACTCAGAAAATGGGAGCTGTCGGGAAACAGGCAAAAAGGCTATGCAGAGACATTTTATCCAGGAGGAAGCACAGATGGGGAAGGAGGACAAGTAGAGGCCGTCAATGTCACGAACCAGTAAGGAAATTCAAAGCAAGATGATAAAAGCAGTTAAAATAAAAAATAGCGAGCACAGTGCAGCAAGGCCTCATCACTCAGATGCCAGCGGGAGTGCAAACAGTCCGGGCGCATGGAGAAATATTCCACACTCTGCCGAGCACCTGCACTGCCCCAGTAACAGAGCCAGCGTCCAGGCAGAACTCTGCTGGCCACTGTCACAGGGCTCAGTCTTATTCTTCCAGAGAGCAGCTGGGACACGCGCTGGCACCACTGGGCGGGAGGGAGGCCGGGGCTGCTGTGTGGCCTGGCTGACACTCAGACGCAAGCACAGGGACCACAGGCTCTGTCTCCAACAAGATGCCACTGGACCCACAAAGGTGGGAAAGGGACAGCAGCTGCCAGGAGCCACTTCTGCCCTAGTCCTGTGCTCAGCGATGGCATCTCTGCGGCTACTACCTTCAGCGCCACACCCGCTTCCGGTCACCCATGGCTGTGGCTCTCAGGAACTGGTATATAGCCACCATTTGGCCCAAGATCAGCTTCTGGAGTCTCTCAAATGCAGCCACAAACGTGCTCCTCATTGCATCTGCCTCCCTCGTGGTTGGCACTGCCTCAGTTGGGTTAGCCCCCACCCCCTGCACTGGGTACCTCACGGGGTCCCAGACACTCAGGAGGTAGGAACACATCCGCTCCCAGCACCTCAGTGTGGCTGGGCAGGAGGTACAACTCCACCAACAAGGGTCAGCTTGCCTTCGAGGCTTTTCCTGCGCCATCTGGTCTGAATGCCCCCTGCGCAAGTAATGTCTGAACCCTAAACTCTCCCTATACACCTTATTTTGAGTTTCTCAGAGATGTGCCACAAATGGTATCTTCCTTCTATGCTATGAGATTGGGAAGGGAAATATGAGTAGCAGAGATGGCCCAGCAGACCCCCTGTGGTTCGGGCAGGCCTGCTGCCCAGACAGTCTCAGACCTACCCAAACAGCTGGGACAACACCGCCCTGGGCTCCCATGCGGAGCTTTTGCTTCCGGCTAGAAAAGCAGAAACCTTCCTTCTTGGACCTCAGGGTGGCCTCGCTGGCACCCGAGGGTGGGGCTGGGAGGCAGCTTTCCCAGACACTGGCACACATGGGGTGGGTGCAGATAGCCAGCAGGCGGGGATTGCTGGACAGGGCCCTCCCAGGGGTCACAAGGAGCCTTCTGTGGAATGGCCAGGTCAGCATGGGTGGTCAAGTCTACTTCACAGCCCGCTCGGGCCCCACAGCACCACCCACAACTGGGAGCGTCTTCCACATTCTTCCACCTGGCACCGTGGCTCGAGAAGGCCAATGGTATTCTAGAATTTTCTAAGTACACCCAGGTGGACCCCACGGACAGTCCCAGGAATGTGAACTGTTACTCCGTACTGTGAGCCCCAAAACATAACCATTTCATCCCCATTTCCTTTGGTCTTAAACTCTCACACACCAAACGTTTCTGAGTTAATGGAAAATAGATAAGCTTTACCCATGACATTCTCTTCTGCTTTTGAAAAGAAAGCTTAAAAAAAAAAAAAGGAAATAGCAATTCTCAAAGCAAGATGAAATGAGCAGAATCAAACCCTCCTCCCTTTCCCCAGTGACACCAGGAGATGCCGAGTCCCCCGCAGATGGGGACTTGGAGAAGCCCTCACCCGCCTGTGGAAAACAGCTGCTCCAGGTACAGAGCAGCAGCGGGGCTGCAGGAAAGTAGCTTCGGGGGCATGTGGGGGAGCTGTGGGCTCGAACTGCACATGCGCTGGCCCGGGGGCTGGTTCGGGCCCTCGGCCTACAGCAGTGCTGCTTGGGCCACACAGCCGGCTCCTGGCCAGGGCCGACCCTCCTCGAACAGTCAGGGGCAACAGCTGCTTCCCAGCTAGGCCCAGTGCCCCAAGGGGCCTCCTTACTGGCTGGGCCTTCACAGGCCTCACTTCCTGCTCCAATTCACACTCACACTTACTCCTGCTCACACACTCACCCCTGCTCACACTTTCACTCCTTCTCACTCACACTCCTACTCACTCTTGCTCACATACTCCTGCTCACACTCACACTCCTGCTCACACTCACTCCTGCTCACACTCACTCCTGTTCACACACCCGTGATCATACTCACTCTTGCTCCCACTCAGGAGGATGGAAGGTGATGAAGGGACCGTCTGCCTCCACTGGCTGTGACCTCCCCCGTCCCACCTTGGGGAAAAACTTGCTAGCATCCGTGAGGAAAGGCACTCAGGCTCCCTACATTTTGCCTGCGTGGAGTGCAGGGTGGAACCAGCCCCTTTCCAGAGCCCTGGCCCAGGGAGCCGACAGCCAGGAGCCACTGATGTCTCACAGAAAGAGCAGGAGCCCCTGCGCAGCCCCCTGACAGCGGGCTCCCCTCAGGGGGAGGATCTTCAAAGCAGATCACCAAATGGAAGCCCCCAGAGCCTGAACACAGCTCCGCTCTCTCTGGGCATTGATGTGTCAAGTCCTCTGTGCAGACATTTTGCCTTTTACAGATATGTTGAAAGTAACTGACAGGGAGAACAGAAACTTGTCTCTGTCATGGTCTCTGTGTGGGAAGACCATGGCTTGCTCACCTCCAATCTGTTACCAGGTTTGCTAGGACAGTGAGCACTGCACGAGTGGCTGCCTCCTGTGTGTAGCCCATTGCAGGGACCAGGGAGCTTGGCCGGGGCCACGGGCTGGCTACAGGCACCATCTGATGAGGGGCAGGCAGAATCAGACTGATAGTATGTATGTGTGTGTGTGTGTGTGTGAGAATCTGTGTGTGTATATTCATGTGAGTGTGAGTCTGTGTGTGTGTATGGCTGTGTCAGGGTATGGATATGAGAGAGCCTGTGACATGTAAGAGTGTGTATGTATGTGACCGTGTTGGGGGGATTGAGTATGTGTATGTTCATGAATATGTGGGTTTCCATGAGTGTGTGAGTGCACGTGTGTGTGTACCTGCATCTGTGAGATACCAGCACTGTGTCCACATGTGCTCGATAGTTAGCTGAGCAAGAACATTCTAGACTCCCAGAGCACAGAGTGGGAAAGGAGTCAGGGTATCTCTCATCAGCACAGACGTAGGTAAGTGACAGCTGTGGGCCCAGCCGTGGGCCCGCTCTAACACAAAAGCAGCACTTGTGGCCTGTCTCGGAAAGCGCATCCAAACAGCCATATTTCAGGCCCGACCGTGGCATGTCTGACTGCCCACGCTGTGTGCAACAATGTCACGGATGAGTGGCCCTAGGCTTCTTGCCCCCACTGCAGTCTCTGTCCCCTGCCCCCACACCAGGCATCTGCACCACTCAGTTCCCTGGGACCCTCAGTCTTCCCATCCATCAGGCCTCTCTGAGAAATGTTCCCACCAGAAACATCTTTTTAACTCAAAAAAGCCTTCCCAAAACGTCCTCAGAAATACAAAAGCAACCTTCAAAAAAAACCCCCAAAACCCTGGAGAAGGTCTGGCTCGGGCAAGCTTCAATTACCTCCCGCTCGGGGGAGGGTGGACGTCCTCTCGTCTCTCCTCACGATGAGACTCTTTACTCCAAAACTTTCTTTTTTAAAAATAGCTCCAGCAACCAGCCATCAACACGGGCCTTGCATTTTAATCCACCCTTTTTCTCTCTCTGGCCTCCAAACTGGCACCTCCCAAGCACAGCCCGTTTCCAGCAATAGCAGCGGCTGCAGACCCATCATTCTGATTGTGTGGGGGGCAGAGGGGTTGGGCGCCCGTCTCCTGGCCTCGCCCGGATGCCAAGACAGCCACGGGCCAAGGGAGGAAGGTGCCGCCCACCCCCGGCCTCTTCCAGAGCCACCTCCCAGCACCTCCTGGGAACCGTTTCTGTGCACAGGCCAGGGTGTGGCCGCTAAGAAACGCTGTTTCCAAAGGCCCCACGCACTGCTGCATGGCGGCAGAAGGGCCCAACACTCTGGACAGGAGCCGCCGTCTACTCTCCGCCACCACAGCGCAGGGACAGAGCCTCGGCGCCATAGGTCAGGGCTGGACCAGGCAGCCCACTTGCTCTCAGTGGGCAGCCTATGTCCCCAGGTGCCCCTCACATGACCGCGTCACTCTACCCAAGGAAGGAGATGCTACAGAGATCGTGTGAGCCCATGGACTAGCAAGGGGACCTGAAGGGGCACAGAGGCAAGGCAGCCCCTCCACGGAGCACGACAGCAGCCCAGGCCCACGTCTGAAGCCCCAAGGGGTGATGACAGTGCAGACAGCCGCAGGGCTTGGACAGGGCAGCACACAGCCCCTCTAGGGATGCGGAACGCAGGGGTGGGGGTATCTATGCCTAAACCCGGGGGCAGGGCCCTCTGCATGTCTAAGGTGCAGCCAAGCAAAGCTCATTCCTGCCCCGAGGCTGCAAGGCCTGAGGCTGCTGCCAGACCCCGACAAAGCCACAAAGACGGGGGTGCGGACCCCTGTCTCACTGAGTCCTCAGCTCCCCGCTGCTGCCACCCTTTATCTGTGCAACTGAACCGTCCGCCAGAAAGTTCCAACAAATGGAAACCCGGCCATCTACCAGGTCAGCCTCAGAGAAGAGCCAAGAACCAACAAGAAAGACAAATCATTAACCTGGGAGGCAGCTAATACTAGCTCACTCTCCTACAGACCCCTGAAAGCTCACACCCACAACGACACAGAAACACACACACACAAAGACCCTTATACACACACTCACAATCACACAGACCCACATACACACACAAACCTACATACACACAGACCCACATACACACCCACATGCACACAGAGAGACCCACATACACATACCCACAATCATACACATTCACACAGACCCACATACACACACCCACAATCACATACACAATCACACAGACCCACATACACACACCCACAATCACATACACAATCACACAGACCCACATACACACTCACAATCAATCACGTACCCCGAGAAGGGCAGAGTGGAGGCGGCCTTTTGCTGCGGGCAGCTTTGATCTTGGAGAGGTAAAATAGGCCACCACGGCAGAGGCTTCTAGAAAGTACGACTGGACTCTGGCAGAGGCCTGGCCCGAGCAGCGATGGGGAGGGCCCCTGAGGGGCTCCAAGAGAAGGTCGGAGCCAGCCCAAGCTGGGGCAGAGATGGGATCTGGGGAGCCCATGGAGTGGGCTGGCCTGTGACCCTGCAGAGGGGGCCTCTGGGCACAAGGAATGGCTTGTGTCATCACCCACAGGAGTCACATCTGTGCGGGACACTGAAGCCATCGAGGAAGCATGTGGGCCCTCAGGGTCAGGGAACCAGAAGGCTGTGTGAGGACAGGTCCTTGGCACAGACACGATGACAGAAGTGGAGACACTATAAAGGGGCCCAAGCAGCAGAGGAGAGCAGGGATGTGGGGGGCTGGGGGGGGCTAAGGGGACATGGGGGATGGGGGACATGAGGGGAGGTAGAGGGCAGGAGGATGTGGAGGAAATGGGGGATGGAGGCGGAGAGTGGGGGTGGGGAACACAGGTGGCAGTTGTGGCAGGGCCAAGATGGAGAAGGCACCTGATCCCAGTCGGTACTTCACTCAGACCCGAGTGGGCACAAGCTGCCCCGAGTGGCCACTGGCTGGTGACTAGAGCCTCTGGCTGAAGTTCCTGAGCCCCACTGGGAATCGCACCAGGCCACCATCTGGTGGGACAGTGAGTCATGACTCAGCAGGACAGGCAGCTCCTGGCTCGGACCCCAGCGTCATCACAGAGCCACCAAGCCACCACCAGAGGAACCTTCTGTGGCAAGTCCAAGTGCCACGTGGAAGGCACAGGGATAGGGTCGAAGGGACGGCGCTGTCTTCATGGGGTCAGAGCCAGGTCACTCACCAGTCTGTGCCTGAGGTGGACAGTGACGAGCGGGGAACCAGACAGATTCTGGGAGAGCGTTGGCCGTGGGGACACGTCGAGTGAAATGAGGGAGCTGGCAGACGACAGGAGGCAGCTTCTATAGCTCATGGCCCCCGCGATCCTCGGGAAGAAAAGGCAGCGTCACACACAGGGCAGCGGGGTGAAGTCACAGCGGGGTCTGCAGCCTTCTGCCCCACTGTGGGCTTCCTGCAGCTCCTCTGCTGGAACCCTGCCCAGCCCCTCAGCCCGAGCACTGGGGGAGCCAAGCTGAGAGGGCCAGGGCCAGGCTTGAACCGCAGCCCTGGGGACTCTGGACCTTGACAGGGTTCCTGAAAGGGATCTCTCACCCCGGCCCGGTACTGGCTTCCATGCCCAGCTCCGAACAAACTGCATAGCACCAGCTCTCCGCTTGCCTCTGCGCTCATGGTTCAGAGGTGCGCACAGACCCGGCTAAGTCCTAGGAGGCCACCAGGCTCAGCAGGAGCTGGCACAGACTCTCACTCGCTTCTGTGTCAACCCTGAAGGGTCAAGTTCGGGCAGCACCTTACAGCCATGAGGGGCGTTGCCAAGGAGGAGCAGAGCTGAGACCACCACCGGTGCTGGATCGAGCTACTCCTGAAGCCATCTGCTGTGCCCCACTCAGTGCTCTTGAGCCAATAAACTGCCCGTATAAACAGGTTTTTTTTGTCACTCACAACCAATCTAGAGAATCTTGCCTGGTATACATGCGCATCTCCTGGGTACTCAGGGGGTTAAACGGGACTCATGGCCCACACAGGGTTGGCCAGCATGGGACCTGGGTGTGTCGTTGGGGCCTGGCCTGTGGTCTGCACACTGACCACTGGAGTGGTGGCAAGTTCGCTCAGCTCTCTGGATTCCTTTTTTTGGGGGGGGGGGGGATTGTCACACCCAGCAATGTTCAGGTGTTACTCCTGGCTCTGCACTCAGGAATTATTCCTGGTAGGGCACAGAGGACCATATAGAGTGCCGGGATCAAACCCAGGACCCAGGTCCCCACTGTGTTAGTTCTCAGGCCTCTAAGCTGTTGGGATTCTAGCCCTGGCTGCCTGCCTGTCAGACCCCAACTGACCCCCGCCCAGTAGACACATGACTCCCAGCCTGACTCCCCGCCCGGCAGACACATGTGTCTGCCAGCCTGACCCCTGGCCGGCAGACACGTGACCTCCAGCCTGACCCCTGCCCGGCAGACACATGTGACCGCCAGCCTGACCCCTGCCTGGCAGACACATGTGACCCCCAGCCTGACCCCTGCCCGGCAGACACATGTGACTGCCGGCCTGACCCCTACCCATCTGCCTCCCCACGTCACACAGAACTTCTGCAGAGTCATAATTGCTGCCCCATCAGAAGTCTCAGCCAGTGACTGGGAAGGGACATCCAGGGAGACATGGCCTCCTGCTCTCGGGAACAAGGCACAGGGCCCACTGTGCACGGGCCATGGTGGCTGCTGTTCCCACTCAGGTGCTGTCTCATGTGGTCACCCACACACACCCAAAGCCCAGGTCCAATGGCCTTCCCCAGCAGTGAGACCCTCAGGGGGGAGCCTCTCCTGAAGGCAGAGCTTCCTGATGTCCCCTGGGTGCTGGTGGACCACGAGCCCATCACAGGGGAGCAGAGTGGACACACCTCGGTCAGCATCATGGGGCATGGTCACAGGCCACTGTAGTAGGCCGTGGCTCTCCCCAGGGCCCAGACTTCCCTGCCTGCACTCCCCACCCCACTGAAGGCTATTCCTGCCCTGCCCACTCACCCAGGGCTCACACAGCGCGGCAGGGGCAAGGTCCCAGACACTCAGTGTCACAGGGGCCCTGCAGCCATCTGACCCATAAGGGTGCGAAAGAACATGGACCAGCCCTGCCCCGTCTCACGCACTAGCCGTGTCTGCTGGTCCAGAGCCTCCTGCCCCAGTGGAAACTGTGGGGACCAGATGCTAAAGGTGGCGTGGGAGCTGGCTGCGTCTCCGCAGCAGAGGGTAGAATGGCACCCCGGGGGCTGTGTGTCCTACTTGCAGGCCTTCCTGGAGCTGGGCCACCACCTGCACGTTGGCAAGAGAAGGACCAGCCAATGAGTGAGGAAGCATAGGCACACCTTGGTTAAGGCACTCAGCCCGAGATGGAAAACTCTGCTCACAGCGCCCCAGCAGGCCGCGCTGCAGAGAGCACTGTGTTGCCTGAGCTGGGCTCAGAGCACGGGCCTCAGACCAGGGCAGGGGGAGGGGAGCAGGGAGACACAGCACAGCACCCACGGCAGGTATCCCTGGGGCCGGCCGCTCTCTGCACGGTCAGCTACACGGACGGAGCCGAACAGGCAGCAGTGGAGAGATAGCACCCCTTCAGCCATGCCTGAAGCCAGCATCCTCTCGGCCCTCTGTCCTATGATCCCTGAGCTCCCCGGTCTGCGGCGTCCTCGTTCACAGCCAGCTCCGTCCTGACTCTGGAGGCCCGTGCTTGCCTCCCCCATGACACAAAGGGCACACTGGCGAATGACCCTGTCCTTGGTGAGCCCTCTGCCATGGACTGTGTGGGAGCGAGATGGCAGGTGGGGTTTCCAGGCTCTGGGACACATGCACGCCCGCGCCCTGGGCTGGGCCTGACTCACTCAGTGCTGGCCGGTGGGATGTTGCTCAGGTAAAAGTGCATGGAGTGGTAGAGCAGGCCCACGATGGTCGTCCAGGCTGGGGAGCAAACGGAGAGTGGAACCCAGTCACTGACCAGTGATGGGCAGACAGTCGCACACATGCTGCCCTCCCCTAGGACCCACACAAGGACAGTGCTGGAATGACTGGGCTCTGGGATGGGCACGACAGGCCCGTGTGCCAGGCTCGGGCACTCTGAGGGGACGTGTCTGGATTTGTCACGGGAGCAGGGCAGGGGTCATAAAGGGCAGTGATGCCCAGTGGCCCTTGAGCTCCAGGGGCCCTGCGTCTCTCAGCCCCGGGGGTTGTGCCTGGGGTGAGGCGCCGTCACTCACCTTGGCCATGAAAGGCCTCCTGGGGAATCTCGATGTAGCTCTGTCCGAGCTCTGGGAAACGGTAGTGGGAGGAGTTCATGGTACTGGGCAGGAGCTTGGCCATGGCAAAGTCTGTGAGCGAAGCAGATGGACTCTAGTCAGAGCGCCTCTGTGGCGGGTGGCTGTGCCACAGCCCGTTCCCTCCAACAGAGCATTTCAGTACAACCCCTCCTGGACATGACACTGACAGCTAAAAGGCCCCGGAAAGTCCCTACCTCGATGGATCCCCATCCACAGGCCACTGCATGTGAGCATGCTTTTGTTTGTATATATGGATGTGCCTGTGTGTATCTGTGTGCATGCACATGTCCACGTGTGTGTGCATGTGTGCATGTGTGTGTGTCTGTATGTATCCATATGCACTCATGTGTGAATACTTGTGTGTGTTCATTTCTGTGTGCATGTGTTTGTACATGTACATGTATGTGCGTGCTTATGTGTGCACATGTCCATGTATTTGTGTGCATGTTTGTATGCATACGCAAACTCATGCATGCATGTATCTCTAAGTGGGTACTCAGGTACATGTACATGTGTTTCTGTGTGCACGTACATGGCCTGTGTGTGTTCATGTGCATGTTAATGTCTGTGTGCATGTGTGTGTATGTGCAACCATCTGGAGCACCACAAGACACCCCGCGCCCCTGTGCTGGCCCTGCACGCAGCTCTGCTCACCTGCCACAGAGGAGGAGCCGGCGATGGCAACGTGGGTGTCGCTGATGTGCAAGTTGGACGAGATGTGGCTCATGACTTTGTCGATGGTGTCGATGAAGCCCAGAACTATGGAGCTGTCCTGGGAATGGCACAGATGCGAAGTGTCACCACAGGTCTGCCAGACCTGTGGTGGGTGTGCCAAACCCCACAAAAATGTGCTTGTCCCACCGTCCCCCACAGGATAGCACAGCATCACTGATGTCACAGACAGGACAGAACAACTCAGAGGCAGAGGTGAACATGGGTGTCAGAGCCAGACCCAGATCTGTCTGAACCCACCACACAGAGATCCCAGACTTGGCTCATCCCAATCCCACACACAGCCCCAGGACTCAGTGGCTCCTGTCCTGTGGTCACAGCCCTGTCCTCTACTGTCCTTCTGGAAACGTGTCTGTCTGCTGCACAGTGTCCTGTGCTTCTCCACAGGCTGGGTTCTGCTGGGTATGGCTGATTCGTTTGGGAGCAGGGCACACCTGGCGGTGCTCAGGGCTTACTCTTGGCTCTGCTCTAAGGAATCACTTGTGGTGGGCTCAGGGGACCACATGGAATGCCAGGGATTGAACAGGGTCGCTGTGTGCCAGGCAAGTGCCTTACCTTCTCTTCAATGCTAATTAGGGTCTGCCAAAGATGGGACAGTTTCGTCAGTATTCACATCTCATGACAGAGCATTGAAAAATTAAATTTGAATCATGCAGGATTGAGCTGGAGTGATAGCACAGCGGTAGGGTATTTGCCTTGTGCACAGCCAGCCCGGCCGAGCCGGGTTCGATTCCTCCACCCCTCTCAGAGAGCCCAGCCAGCTACCGAGAGTATCTTGCCCGCAAGGTAAAGCCTGGCAAGCTCCCCGTGATGTATTCAATATGCCAAACACACAGTAACAACAAATCTCAAAATGGAGACATTACTGGGCCTGCTCAAGCAAATCGATGACCAATGGGAGGACAGCTACAGCTACCATAGCTACCATGCAGAATTACATCTGTTCAGGTCCTCCACTGACCTTGGGGTGTGCAGAGGGCAGCAAGGCCAGAGGTTGGCTAAGAAGTGCAGGTTCTGCAGGTGCAGCTTTGGTGTGGGGGGACCTCCAGGGCAGGCAGGGCTGCCTGGAGCAAGGGAGTCAGGATCCTGGGCTGAGGGACTTGGGGGGAGGGGCAGAGGTGCTTGGGCCACACCTGACTGTGCTCTGGGGCTCACTCCTGGTTCTGTGCCCAGGGACCACTTCTAGAGGTATTCAGGGGACCTTATGGGGTGCCAGGGATCAAACCAGACTCATCCAGCCCCTCACCTTTATTTTTTTAAATGAGTAAAATCAACAATTATTATTTTTTTAAGAGAAAAATCATTCCACTCATTTTGGAGTAGAGAGAAAAAGTTGTTGATTTTTTTTTTAAAAAAAAACAACTTACGCATTATATACATTCTGCTTCTTTAAGTTACTCTAGAGATCTTCAAACATGTTTTTTATTACTAACCAAGAACTATGTGATAGTAAAAAATGTGCTAATCACTGCCCAGGCTTGGTCTATGCCCATGAGGAAAACCAGGTCTTGCTCCCCAGGACGGAGCCCAGCAACATGGAGCCGATGCTGGGTTCCTGAGCACACTGGGCACCAAGGCCTTTCATACCAGTCTCACATGAGCCAAGAAGCTGTCACAGTCCCGGGTCTGGGCTGATGGGTGCTTGGTCCTTGGCAGACATAAGCTGAGCGGCTTTATTTCCACTGGGACCACGATCTGCTTCCCGCGGACACGCTCACTGAAGATCAGAACATCCTATTCTCTTACCTCAGACACAGCGGTCCAGCCAGGCAGCTGAAGGACATCTCCCACTGTCTCCAGGAAGGTCTAAGGGTGGAGAGATGGCACCGTGAGCTGTCTCCCGGTGTGCCAGGCTCCCCCTTCCCTATCAGCAGCTGGCCGGGCTGAAGAGATACCAGAGGAAACAGCCCCGTCTGTGTGGCAGGCTGTGTTTGACCCATTTGTTTGGGAGGCTGCGTGTTTGCTGTCCGTGTGGCAGGCTGCATGCTTACAGAACCCCTCGCATAGGTTATTTCCTCGGGGAAATGATGGCAGCTCTGCCCAGTCAGTGGCACCATTATTTTCTGGTGGTGCAGTGGAGCTACTGGCTGGGAGAGCAACCGGGAGAGATGCCCCTGCTGTTCCCTGCACTTGGGCCAGAATGGCCCCAGGCTCCCCCTCACAGACCCTGAGGCGGCACTTAGAAGTCACAGTGAATGCTTAGCTCCATTGCTGGGAGACCACAGGCCCAGTAAATGCCTCGGCAAGAATGAATGAGCAGCAGATCCTGGCCTGTGGCACACAGTTCCTGGGGACCAGGCTGACCGAAGCACCCGTGTCCCTCACAGAAGAGAAGTTACTCGGGGTCACCTTGCAGCCTTGTCTGGCTTGCTCCATATTGTTCTCAGAAAGTTAAACTGGCTGCTAACATCTTCACATGGGGAGACCTGAATACAAAGGTGAGCCCCAACTTCTCTGAGAAAGAGGTCCATCTCCCTACCCCAGCCCGCTTTCCCCCAGGCCACACAGGGGGCAGTCCTCCCCTGCCACCACTGCCTCACATCTCGTCCTTCTCAGCCCTTGCTCCTCTTGCCCTCCTAACTTGACCCTACACCTCCAGCTTGTCCGCAGCCCTCTCTGAGGACACCAGCAGGCAGGCTGGACTCTCCTGGCTTCATTCAGCACCTTTAGAGGCAAGTCCAGGATGTCCTGGGTGCCAGGGCTTCAGAATCCAGATAAGAAGATCAGTCCCTGCTCACCCCCAACGGGGCAGGCTTGGCTCACAGACTTGGGGAGCAGGATGGATGCAGGGCGCCAGTGTGGAGCAGAAAGGACCCGGGAAACCTGGGTCCATAACGCTACAGAATCCTAACTGTTGCCCAGGGGAGAGTCAGGCCCCCACAGTGGCCACACCTCCCACAGTGGCTGTCCCTCCCACACTGGCCGCCCCCCAAACCCCACCTTACCATGGTGAGGTTCCGCGCCGTGGCCTCCGACACAGACTTGCTGGGCAGGCTGAGGGACATGTTGTGGAGGTAAGTTAGGACAACACCAGGACTCTGGAAGTCTTTTCGCTCCTCTGTCAGGTTGGCAATGATGGGACGGTAAGCGTCTGTGGGCACCTGCAGGGAACCAAGAGCCCCTTCCACTAAGCACCATGCCAGAGACTCATGAGCCCTCAGGGTCCCTTGGAAGCCTGACTGTCAAAGGCAGCGCTGACGACATTCCGGGCATGGCCGTCGTCACTTGGCACACCTGCCTCGGGAAGTGCTCCCTTCCCAAGGGAGCCACCGGCCACTTAGGGTCTGAGCCCAGAGACTGTTGCTGCATGGCCCTGAGGTTCCCACAGGAAAGTGGTTCGGTTACACATATTCATCCCAGCACCAGCATCTCTATAACAATCAATCCTAGAGCCAGAGAGATAGGGTAGCAGGGAGGGCACTTGCCTTGCCAAACAAGGTTCCATCCCTGGCACCCTACATGTTCCACTGAGCACCATCAGGAGTAATTCCTGAGTGCAGAGCCAGGAGAGCATTGGCGGGTGTGGCCCCAAAACAAAACAAAGAATTGATTCTTTCCCTGATCCAGGATAAAGGACAGAGGAGCCAGCTCCCTGTGGACCAGCGATTCCAGAAGGATCCGGCTGCAGCTGTTGCTAAACTGGGCAGCTTTGAGAATTTGGGCACATGAGGTCACAGGAGATAGGCAGAAGGACTTTCTCTTCAGTCAGCCTTAGGTGGGGAATCAGGACTGAAGTTAGCTCTCCTCCATCTATTATTTCTTCCCAGACAATATTGCCAATAAGAATGAGCCAGACTAATGGAATTCTAGCAATCCTGGGAGCAGATCCAAGCAAAAAAGCATCAACAAGCCATGGACAAGGATAGATGAGCTGCTTACCAGGCTCCTTGTCGTGGGCGTCGTGAAGAAGCCTGGTGGGGTTGAAAACAAGGAAGTGTGCTTTCCTGGAAAAAAAAAAGCCTAATTGATAACTAAAATGTGGTTATCTTTTACGCAATAAAGTGCTGAACTTAAAAACCGCCCAGCTTTGGACTCATCAAAGAAAGTTTAAGAATGTTTGGAAGAAGAATGTGGCTGGAATGATAAAATGCTAATAAATCAGCCTAATGGGTAGAGTATATGGATTTTTCCCAGGTCACATTATCTTTCCGTTTATATTCCAGATTGCCTGTGAACACTGTTAATACAAGTCATCATATAAAAATGTGATCTCATACAAGCTTTCGCTGATTTCAAATAAATAAACAGACCTCAGGGCTGAGACACTCAGAAAGCTGGAGCATAGGCTTTGCATACTTGGAGCCATGGGTTGGTCCCTGGCACCACACTGTCCCCAGAGCACCAGTGGGTGTGTCCACTACACACACACACACACACACACACACACACACACACACACACACACGGAAATGTACTTCAATTTCATCTGGACTAGCCAGGGAGAAAATAGAGTGCTCTTGGTCACTGGGTGAGGTCGACACTTCCCTCCCAGAAAGACAAATGAGAGCTAACCAGTCAAGTAGTGGCCAGGCTGATCCTATCACCTGGGGGGGGGGGGGGGTTCCAGGGACTTTATCAAGGTCTCATCTGGGGGGATTGGAGAGATAGTACAGTGAGTTGACCCTGCATGTGGTCAACCCAGGTTAAATCCTTAGCACTCCATGTGGTCCCCTGAACCCCATCAGGAATGGTCCCAGAACACAGAGCCAGGAGTAAGTCCTGAGCATCACCAGATGTGGTCCCATTTTTTTAAGGACTCCATTTGATTGACTATAAATAACCACCAATAATGAAGACTTCCGAGACCAAAATTTAGCTCTGATGTGCTGTTCCCTTTCCGCCACCATCATTTCTTATCTCAGTACTTCCTGACGAAACCATCAGACATTCTACTTCACTATAGGCTGAAGGTGCAGGTGGCCAAGTGCTCTGGTTGGGGTGTGATTTGTGATACGGAAATGAGGACACCTCAGGAACCAGGGGGCTTGAAGGCTCTACTGTCAGTGACAGGCGTTCCAAGGGCCAAGGAGACACAGGGGGGATCCCCCAGAAACCCACATTCCACTCATGTGCCCCAGAATAAGGGGAAGGAAGGAGCAAGGCATGAGGCTTGCCTCACTGATCAGCACGGGAGATGAGGGCCCAGCCCCCCAGGAGCCTCTTGTCATGTGCTGTCTCACTGTGCCGCCATTTCTCCAACCACTTGACTCTGGACCCAGTTCTGCACAAGATGCGTGGCTGCGCGGCCTCCCCTGGTTTGCCCCATCCAGACAGAGTTCTCCAAAAATGGTCCATGCTCAGGCTAAAAGCATGGGAAGAAGGCGCCTCTGTGCAAGGGGCGCTCCAGTCAACGCCCCTAGTCCCAGGAGCCGCTGCCCCACAGTACCGGGAGGACTGCTCTTCACATGGTGATGGGCTCACCTCCTGTGACCTCGTTACCTGTGTGGGCACAGTGCCCTGAGCATTCTGAACTCACTGAGCAGCAGTGCAGGGAGCTCACAAAGACCTTCCAGGAACTTTGGGAACTTTTCTTTTTTTGTACATACTTTAAGTCACACATCCCATCTTCACTGTGGGTCTCTGAGTGAAAGGGAGCCCAGTGGTTCGGTTTGGCTCAACTTATCAGCAGGTATGTGCTTCCCAGGACCCCGTGATACTGGAAGCCCCTCCCAAGAGCCTCCCCTGGACCCAGTGGTGACCGCACCTAGAGTGGGCATGAGCACAAGGGGTCCCACTACGCAGCTGCTGTCCTGGCACACAAGGGTTGCTGTGACAGGAACAAGAAACAGAAGCAGTGATACCTTTTCCCCATGCGCCACCAGTGTACCGGGTGGGGAGAGCCATCAGGGCAAACGACAGCACAGCAGGACGGTGTCCATATGACAAACCTCAGTCCGGGTGACCAACACACTCACCGCTGACCTTCCCAGGCCCTGCCATCCCGAAGAACATCCGTGGCAGGGGACAAGATGGAAATAATCTTTCTCTCTGCTGAGAGCTGCAGCCCCGATCATTCCTGGGGAGCCCTCTCCTTTGTGTGCGCTGGGCCCGGCTACCTCACCGCCAGTTCCAAGGTGAACTATGGCTGAGGAACATCAGCATATTCTAGAGCCCCAAGTACAGCAGCTGCTCTGAGGCAGCAGGGAGACCCAGGGCCACGACACACGTGCTTGCTTTCTGCGCCCCATCCCCGCTAGGGGAAGGACATCACAGGGGTACCAGCACCACCAAAAAATTGCCACGGACCCTCCTGGAGACCTGGGTTAAAACTGTTTAAATTCTGCCCTATTGTTTCCCTTGTGTGAGATGAATACAAATTTCTTCTTGACTAAAGTCATTGGTGGGTTTTTCATCACTCCACCAACAGGGCCCAAACAATAGAGGAGCTCAAGGTCAGAGCGTGTGTGAGGACAGCTGGCTCTGGAAGGCCCTGGAAGGCTCTGGAAGGCTCTGTACCACCCCAATGCCCTGGGCCATTCTGGGCCTCCCAGCAGCCAATTCGGGATGCCCCTGAGGTGCCGGCATGCTGACTGTTCTTTCCGGCAGAGTGTTTATGTAACAATACAGGCACTGCACACACTTGAACAGAATGAAAATGGAATCAAGCGGGGAAAGAAAGTGTTATTTTTGGAAACAGAGTCAACGCATTGCAGATGCGACATGCCGACAGGAGCCGTAGCCCCAAGTCATGCCTTACCCTCACGGTTGGTCCCCTCCACTATCCCTGGGGCAGGACAGTGCTGCTGGCTATGTCTTTCCATTGGACAGAAAAGAAGGTTGTGATTTGGAGACACTGACACAGAAGTCTGCTGGCATATTATTCCATTTATATGGAATATCCAGCCGGAGGTGGGGGGTGACCTCCCTGACCCCAGGATCATCATGCTGATGGCCGAGAGAATGTGTGAACCCAAGTTCTCTGCCCACAGTCCCTGGCGGGAAAGCCTGCTCTGCATGAGCCAGGAGAGCTCCAGCCTCAATAGCCGCCTCACAGAGTCTGGCAAGCAGCCTGGGGAGCGACGCACTAACGTCATTGGTGGCATCCCCTCCCCAAAGCGTCTGTCCCCTCCATCATGGCCCTTCAGGTGCCCTGACTCAGCAAGGTAACACTGATCTCACCCAGCTTCATCTCCTCCACACCCCATGTCCGCAGTGCTAACCCTGACCCCAGAGGGTGGGCAGAGAGGAGAGGAGGGTAGGGGGGCGCTGGCCCTGGGCCGCACTGACCAATGGCAGCGGTGAAGTACATGGCCACCTCGTCCGGGGTGAGCGCCCGCTCCCAGATGATGAACTCGTCAAAGGCGCCGTGCTCACTGCGCCTGGTCTGGTCCTGCTCAGACCCCAACACAAGGTGGGCGCTGGGGTCCCCGTACACGTGAGACACTTTCCCGCTTGGGTCGGAGGTGTTCAGAGTCCCATTGACATACACTTTCAGACCCTCCTTGGATTTCCATGTGAACAGGATGTGAGTCCAGTAGGGACCTGGGAAACAGCAAAGAGAACCACTGTCAAGGCCCAGAAGGCAGTCACACACCTGCTTTTCCTCCTCCCAAGGAACTGGTCAGTACTGGCCCTGGTACTGGTCGTGGGCCCTAGTACAGGCCATACTTCAGAGCTGACAGAGAACCTGAGGGAGGACCCACCAGAGCACAGGGAAGGCAATGCCTCTACCCCCAAATTGCAAACCAGTTTCAAATGGACCCTTGGCCATTAAACAGGATCACAAATGAAATGCTTGCAAGCAAAGGTAACAGTTGAATACCTGGCAATAGGCAGGTACTCACACCAATCAGAGCACAAGCCCAGTAGCAAAAAACTGAGATGGCCAGGGAGAGGAAAGGATTTTTCTCTCAGCATTTCTTCCCGACAAAATACTGGAAGAACTCGAAAACGCTGCAAGACTAACAATAGTAATAATAACCTATACAGATTGGAGAGAAAGAAATTAAACTATTATCAGGTGGCAAGATTATCTGTGTAGAAAACTCAAAAGAATTCATTAAAAAATAACACCTGCCAGAACAAATATTACATTATAGCGAGGTTATAGGACACGAGATTCTGGGCAAGTGAGCCAAAACTACTTGATGAGGAAAGTTAGTCTCTTCAAATAACAGCTGCTGAGAAAATCAAATATCCTATGCAAGAGAAGAAGATTGGATTCCTATCTTACAGAGCTCACAAAAATGAAATTGAAACGAATTGAAGACTTAAGCATAGAAACCAGAAAGCTCCCAGAATAAAGCTCAGAAAAACACCTTTCAACTAGTTGTGGCAACGATATTTGGATGCTGGTGCCAGAGTACAGGGAGCATGGAGGGGCTGTGGCCTCCCACCCCGTCTCTGCCTCAGAGGGATGCCTAGGTGCCCATCATCCTTATTTCCAAGAGAAGTGGGAAATCTTGATTGGAAAGGTGAATCATCATCACTATGGTTGTCATTTGTTCAAAATAATTTTTTTTTCTCATTCTGCCCGGACTACCACAATGCTCACCAATGCCCTGATTCAACCCAGAGGTTGTTCATAGAAACTTCTGCTCCAACACGGCAGAGCAGTGGCAGGCAAGGCCACCCTTGAAGCTCACTCAGGACTCCCCACTGTGAGTCGGAGGGTGGCCTAAAGAGCATCTCAGCTCCAAGGATGCCCATTCCACCAGGCCCACAGTGCTCTGTGAGTATACTCCAGTCTCCCTGGGCCCTGGGCTGCCTCCAGAAAAGGGCAGTCGGCTCTGGTCCCCCAGCCATGACACCAGGGCTGCTGCCGAGACTGCACAGCCCTCCTGCTGGAGTCTCTGGAGAGCACACGAGAAGAACAACCCCCTCAAAGGATCACTCTCGAGCCCATTGCCAGGAGGCGTGTTTTGCGGGGCCCACTTCCCTGGAAATGGCAGTGGCTGCTGCTCTCTTGGTCTGAGCACAGTCCGGAAGGTCCCTGGCAGGGGCAGGCCCAACCAGCCCAGGAAACATGAAGAACAGCCTCCACAGAAGGAATGATAGTAGGTACTACAAGAAACGACAGCAGGTAGCAGGAGATACCGTAGTAGCTACAAGGTACTATAGCAGGTACCACAAGATACCACAGCAGGTAGAAGTTATCACAGCAGGTACAAGAAATGACAGCAAGTACAAAATACTATAGCAGGTATCACAGGATACCCCAGCAGGTACCACAGGATACCCCAGCAGGTACCATAAGATACCACAGGAGGCTCCACAAATAAGAGCCACAAAAATGTATGGGGGCTTGGGAGGCTATCTGGCCTCGGGAATGCAGAGCGCAGACATGCAGAGACCTCTGGGTGCCTGTGGGACTCCTCTTCAGAGGGGACAAAGGGGACGGCACCCATAGTCAGGTGCCTCCTCCGGCCACCACTGCTGCTGTCCTGAGGCACTTGAATGACAGAGTCCTCACAGCCAGTCCACGCCCGGCTCTGGCCTCGTGCACTGCCCAGGGTGCCCTCAGACAGCCCATGTGCCCCATCTCACTTGCCGAGCCCCCATTCTCTCCTCTCTTGTCCCATCTGAAAGCTTCCAGTCCTCAGCACTGACAAGGAGAGGAGGGAGGGGCTGCCTGCTGTGCTCCAAGCTCTGTCCCCTCCTGCCGTGCGGGGGACCCAGAGGCAGATGTGAAGTGGCAAGGGCCAGAAGTGCCTCCCTGAGGGCCTTGGTACTCCCACCCATCCCTATCCTTTCCCAGGTGTTCCCTCCAGGAGAAGGGGCCCAGGCACTACCCCAGGGTCCCCTCACCCGTTGGCCGGGAGTCTGCCCCAGGGTCCCTGTACCTGGTAGCCGTGAGTCTGTCCTGGGGCCCCCGTACCTGGTGTGCTGAAGGAGGCCTCCCAGGTCATGGAGTTCTCACGCATGTACAGCTCCACGGAGCCCTTGCCACCGCTGGCGCGGACTTTGAAGCCGTCAGAAATGACCTGCCCCCCATATGCAGAGGGGGCTGGCCTGGGCTGTTCTCCTTGGGTCTTCCAGAAGAAAGAAAATGTGACCCCTAAGGAAAGGAAGACGGGGTTCAGAGCTGCAGGAATCAAGCCAGGAGCTCCCAGAGCGATGGCTCATGCAACTGCCAACCAAGGCGGGCTCAGCAGGCTGGTGAGATGCCCTGAGCACTGCCTGGAGGGAGCACCATGCTAGAAGTAGCTCCAAGCACTGCCAGTATGCCCCAACCCTCCCAAATAATCAACAAGTAAATCAACAAAAGGTATCAAACAATATTCAATTCAGACAACACCATGACAGTAACTAAGATTGAATGAGCAGAGTACCCAAGTTCTTTTTGAAGAGCTTTGTTGCTTTTAAGGGGCCATCAGACATCACTCCTGGTGGGGCTCGGGGACCATATGGGGTGCGAGCAATCAAACTCAGGTTGACTGCATGCAAGGCCAGCACTCATCACTCTGGACACTGCCCTAAGAGTTTCAATGACTCTCTCCTGTTAGATGCAGGAAAGTCCTTTTATCGTCCCATGAAGAGGAGCAGAGAGCAGCAGGAAGTAAGGAAGGATGCAGAGGCTGGGAGGAAGGCCAACTGATGGCCCTCCTGTGGTCCTTGCCAAACCTCCTCTGTGAACAGTAGCCGGGCCCCATCTCAGACCCACACTATTCAGGGCTCTGCTGTGCCTCAGTCACAGAGCAAGCCAAAGCGACAGCACAGCCAGTGGGGCGCTTGCCTTGCACGCGGCCAACCTGTAAGGATCCCATATGGTACCCCAAGTCCACCAGGAGTGGTCCCTGAGCACAAAACCAGGAGTCAGCCCTGAGCACCACCAGGAGCAAGCCCCGAGCAGAGCCAGGAGTCAGCCCTGAGCACAGAGCCAGGACTCATCCCTGAGCACAGAGCCAGGATTCAGCCCTGAGCACAACCACCAAGAGTGAGCCCTGAGCACAGAGCTAGGAGTGATCCCTGAGCACCACCAAGAATGATCCCTGAGCACCACCAGGAGTCAGCTCTGAGCACAGAGCCAGGAGTCAGCCCTGAACACTGTCAAGTGTGGCCCAAAAACAACAACAGAATGACAGGAGCCCCTGAGCAGGCTCATGGAGTTGTCAGCAGCTTCTCCTCCAAATCTCCATGCACGTGGCCAGCAGGGCTCTCCCTACCCAGGTTTCCGTTGGATCCTTCCATCCCCACAGAGGAACAGCAAGGGCTCCCCAAAGCCCCAGCTGCAAGCAGGACCCCCAGAACCACCCACACACAGGAAACCAGCACGGTCCAAGCTGTGAGACTCTGTTATGAAACCAAGTCCCCATAGAATTCAGGGAAGTCAGTTTTTTCCACTTTGCAGGAACTTTTTTTTTTTAAAGTCTTTCATTCAATCCTGTCTTGGATAAATGTCTTCCTGTCCAGGAAATAGAAAACAGTTCAGCGGTGGATGAGGGTGGGTAGGCTCTTCATGTTTCTCCTTTTTCCATTCACCTGCAAAGTTACGCTTCTGTCTAAGCCACTGCTGGGGCGTATCACTTATATCCTGAGTCTGAAAGGTCCAGAAGTGGCCGGGGGCCTGTCATCACTTGGGAGCAACAACACAAAAAAAGAAAAAACCCATAGGAAAAAGTTTAAAAAAAAAACCCTATCTGGGCAAACTGGTACTTTTTTCTTATGAGCATTAAATCCCAATCCATCTCATAGCTAGACAGCAGAAAGTTATTTTTCAGGACATAAAAAAAGAAAAAACGCCCAGATGTCAGAAGAAAAGATGGATTAACTTGAGCACATAAATATTATAAAATTCTGTAAGACAAAAATATTTACTGTAACAAAATCAAAAGACAAATAGCAGCGGGAGCCATGTCTGCCGTCTAAACGGTCAGGGCCTGCGGCAACTATAACAGGAGCAGGCGTGAGTGTGGCCACGGCTTGGGGCAGGGCCAGCTCCTCTGTCCTGGCAACCAAGGGAGCAGGCATGACCCCTGCTGCTGTGTGCAGGAGAGAAGTGAGCAGAGAGAGGCGGGGGGCCACACAGCTCGTGGGGGAGGCTGGCACTGGACCGCACCCTGGCTCTGTGTCTGCAGGCGACCACCTTGGTATCCTGCCCCAGCATGATGACTCACTCGCTGCGTCCAACAGTGACTTCCAGGAAGTCCAGGAAGGAGAACAGACAAGAACGAGCAAGGCCAGGCTGCACAGTATCCCCTCTGTTCCTGGGCGGGAGGACAGAACAGCTCTCCTGGCCCAAGTGCAGCAGCTGGTCAGGAGGGCAGGGCCGTCCTACTTCCCCAGCAAAGCTCCCTGGCCTGGGTGCTGTCTCTCTGGCCACTGCCCAGTCTCCAGTCTCCCTGGCAGGGCCTGGCATGCTGAGGAAGCATCACCCCTACTCCAGGCAGGAGAGCTGGGGTGGCCAGCTCCGCCAGGTAGGAACCGGAGACCTCAGCAGCCCATCAGAGGGCTGCCAGCCAGATATGACAGCAGCTAGACCCTCATGGAAGTTCTCCTTACCCTGCTTAGTATCTGTGGCTGCCGTCTGAGGCATCACTTAAAGCAGAGAAGTCCTGTGACTGTGAGGACCAGGTCTCCCCTAGACAGGCTGTCCAGGAAGAGTGGCAACAGCCACACAGTAATGGAAGCAGCTGGAGGGGACTTTGGCCCGGACTTAGGAGTCCTGGCCACGAGAGGAGGCACATGCAGCATGGCTGGAGGGGGCTGAGCTCTGGGCAATATTTTTTTTTCACTTTTTGGGTCACACTTGACAATGCACAGGGGTTACTCCTGGCTCATGCACTCAGGAATTACTCCTGGCGGTGCTAGGGGACCATATGGGATACTGGGAATCGAACCCGGGTCAGCCGCATGCAAGGCAAACGCCTTACCCGCTCTGCTATCACTCCAGCCCCCGGGCAACATTCTTGAGGAGGATGCTGGGCTCCAAAGGGATGTCAACCCCGGGCCAACCTCCAGACAAGCAGCAAGCTTCTTGAGATGTGCTGGATAGCAGTGGCCCAGGCCCAATGGGCAAGTGTGGAGGAGAGGTCACTGACCCCCTAGCAGAAGCAACCAGGGCATGTGCAGAGAGAAGGAGGGACCTCTAGGACCCCCTCACAGCTCCCCACAGCATGAAGCACTGGAGCTCCAGGTGGGAAGGACAGTGGCAGAACATTCCAGCAGGGCCTCTGGTTGAAGGAGAGCTGGCCTCCGAGAGACAGGCGTCTCCTGGAGTGAACATGCCAGCAAGCTCAGCACCCACTGCTGCTTCTCCAGCAAGTCACAACTGCAGCCGTAGAAGAAGGGCCAGTGGGCACACCCGCAGCAGTGGACACAGGTGTGTCCTCCCCAGGGATAGCTGAATCCTCAACTCTGGCTCCCAAACACTCTTTAGGAAAAGAAAGCTAAATCACCTAGAACACCAACGGGGCCCACAGCAGAATTTGGAAGACTAGAAAAGCAGTGGCCCTTTTGGTGTGGCTGCTGACTCTCACAGAGGATGCTGAGGCATGGCCAGGGCACGTGGAAGGCCAGAGAACCCCCACAATCCCTGTCTCACCTCCCCACCTCACCCCCCAGGGCCTCAGCAGCCCAGGTCCAGGCAGGCTAGTGGATTGCCGATTGCAGAGTGACTAGCCCGACTACAGTAGCCTCCGAGAAGGGGCAAGGGACAGCAACCAAGCCCAGCAGGAGCCTCTGCCACTGCCCACAGCTGGGCAGCCCTGGAGCATCCCAGATCCTCCAACCCCGTGAACAACCACAAGTGAGGCAGCCTGGCGACCAAAGAGAAAGGCCCCTTATGTGCCCAGAGTCCAGGCACACAGCACAAAGGCTAGACGTGGTGGAGACCATGCCCAGCCCATAGGGGCCCAGGGCCCGCCCACACCAAGGGAGAAGGGAGGAGCTAAGGCTGTACTGGGGTCTCCCAGCGAGCTCACTTGGGGTGCTCAGGGATAATGCAGTGCTGGGGACAGACTCAGGGCCTTACTCATGTCAGGAAGTGCTCCAGTCCTTTGATCTGGCCCCTGGCTCCCAAATCCATAGTTGATAGTTGTGTGGGATTTCCTGTCTCTCAGTGCCTGCACCTGATCAAACATCTGCAGTTTCCTGCCTGCCACACCCAGGGCAATCAGCAGCCTGCACGCACTCAGAGACCCAGCCTGCAAGCCCAGGCTCCCCGCGGTTCTGATCTCCAACACCCAGACTCCCCCGTGTCCACAGCAAACCACTCATGAGAGCCAGTGACTGTGAGAGAGTGGCTGCCATCCACCAGGTAGAGCCTGGCCTTGCCGTCCCCGTGACCTTGCACAAGCTTGCAGACCCCATCCTCCACAGAGCCAGAGCGAGGGGCAGGACTAGATCCCCTGTCCGCTGTCTCCATGGTGATGCCTGGGAGTGTGTGATGGCCGGCCGAGCAAACAGCCGGGGCATGTGAAGCTGCCCGGGCAGGACTCAGGTGAAGTTTCTGGAAGACTGGCTGTGACTGTGCCTTGATCATCTCTCCAAACTCACCTGTTTCTGGAATAGGACCCCTATACACCTGCCTCCTGTCTGTCCATGCAGAGTGTGGCATGGGGAACCCGCAGCATGGCTGGTATGAACTCCCAGGACAGAGACCCCCGGCACCCCAGAACTGGAAGTAGGTTTTTAGTTTCTCCAGAAACCAGCCTCTCTCCCTGCTGGGCTGGAACTGGAAGCTCAGCGGGACCTGGATGCAGGTAATAGTGACCCAGGCAGCAGAAGAAGGCAGCAGTGCAGGCCCAGGGGCAGACATGGGTGACTGTCCACAGCCCACATAGTCACCCGGGCTCAGCGTTCCGGGCCACCTTTGGCTTTCACGATGGGATCTCTGAGGCCTGTCCCCTCGGGCTCTCGTCAAGCGGCTGAGTGGGAAGCATGCGCTTACCTTCCGGCCCACACCGTGCAGGGCTGCTGAGGCAGGAGCTCTTGTACCTCCCATAGTAAAGGAGTGTCACTCCCTTCTCCTCCTTGAGGTAGATGCCTTTGTTGACCTTCCCCTCGACAATATCTAGGGGAGAAGGCGGCAACCACGCATGAGGCTGTATGTTCAAAAACATGCGTCAGACAGACCAACAACTTCCATCTGTGTGTGCTGATGGGCAGAACATCACATAAGGTGAATACCAACAGTTCATCAGAAATAGCTACGTTATAAACCCTGTGTGTGCAGGTGTAGTGGTGAATTCCTGTAAGGAGACACCATTAAGAGGCTCTACCATCCTCCATGGGGTCCAGAGCATCACCAGGACCCAGGGGGTCAGTACTGCAAGTGCCAGCAGCGGTCCTACAGTCCAGTGTCCCTAGCCTACCTTCCTACCTTCCACCTGCTCCCTTGGCCCATCCCCAACAGTTGCACTCGGCCCTCCCCACTGACTCCCTCCAGTTCTGAGGACACTGACCCAGATTTTCTGATGTGAGGGTCATGCACAGATGCAGGCAGGGAGCCCAGCGCAGCTGCGTGCTCGGCACACAGCTCACATGTCTGATGGCGTGAGGGCAGGTGTATGGTTGACAAAACGGGTAGTACAAGCCATAAAACAAGGTGATTGTGCATTTATCATTAACAGGGTCAAAGTCGCCTGCAGACCTCCCCAGAGTGTGGGAACATGGCCCTTTGACCGCACGTGACCCCAGCTCCTGACCCACAGGAGGGCAGCCAGCGCAGAGGGTCACAGGACTCCCACTACCTTGGACTCGTTTCTTCTCATCTCTCACGTGTAGCTGGTAACTGCATAAACCCCAGGAAAAAGTGGACAGCTGGTGGCTATGCACACGAGTCTGGCGTTTACACCCCTAAATCAGATCATCTGGGGGGCAAAATGAGCTGAAGGGCAGCTGGCAGCTGAGCTGCATGTGGAGAAAAGACCATAAGTCTGGCCTTACGCCAGGGCCCAGCTCCAAGAGTGCGGCCTCTCCCTTCACCCTGGCTGCACAGGGGAAGACCAAGCATTTCTCCAAGGACCTAGGAATCAAAGTCTTAACAACAGCGTCCACTAATCAAACAGTTCCCAGGGTGGGGGCCGAACTGGGTTCAAGCAGGGCACACAGGCCTCGCAGGTACAAGGGCCCGAGTTCAAGCCCTAGCTCCCCACAATCCTGAGCACTGACGGGATATGCCCCAACTCCCACCCCCCAAATAAACCTAAAAATCCAACTTCAGAAGAATGTTGTAAGAGGTCACTTTTGGGCTGAGCCACTTTGAGGCCAACATCTGCTTTCGTCCCCTCCCCCAAGGGCCGCGGCTGGCACCACACACACTCCCATGCAAGTCCCTGGTACTCCCAGGGGATGCCCAGGCCTCTTGGTCACCCGGCCTCTGCTTGTCCATGAAGAGAACACAGCGGACCCGAGACTCCAGGGACAAATGAAGCAGGCGCTCACCTACAGTCGCAGAGAAGTTTGAGTAGGCAGAGTCATTGCCACTCACAAAGGTGGCATTATGGGAAAGAAGTACAGTGAGGTTGTAGGCTTGTAACGCTAGACAAACAACAAAAGAAAAAGCACAGCATGTGAGACAAAAAACAAACAGAAACCACATATCTCTCAACTTCCCGCGGCCTGCGGACTCCATCCCGCACCCGCTAGGCCCTGCCCACCCCGCAGTCCAGATGGGGGTGAGGGGGTATCAGCTCTCTGCTCACTTGGGGTTCAGCTGCTGCTGGAAACGCCCAGAGCCCGTGTCCTGACTGCGAGGAGTCCCTCCCACCGGCTGAGTTGAGAGATATGAAACTGAACAGGCCCTGAACCCATGGGCCTCCGCGGAAGGGCTGATGGTTGTGTCATAAGGATGGATGGAAGCAGACACAGCGGGAGAACAGCTGCACACCACGATGACAAATGACAGGACAACAGAGGGTTCAGTCACAAGGAACAGAGCTGCACATGCATGTGCTGACGGGTCTGCTGTATTTCTGCCCTGTGGGGTCTGCGATGAAGTGAGATGAAGTGAGACGCTCAGCGCAGAGCATCCGAGACAGAGGGTTCACCAAGGGCTACAACTGGTGAACAAGGTCCAGCCATACTGGGATGGCCTCTGAGTGATGGTATGGCTGAGAGTGACATGCCACGGTAAGGCACTCAGAGCCCCTCTTTCCCTGCCGGAAAACCAGCCAACACTCATCGAGCACTGACCAAGGAGCCTCCTGATGCTCGGCTGGCCAGTCCGTGACTATCACTTTGCTTTCAACTAAAGGCCCTCAGGAAGCAAACAACACAATGACAAGGAAAGGGGTCACCCAGGGGAGTCCAAAGGGCAGATCTGACAATCTGGAGAAACTGGGGTGCAGGCCAGCTTTCTGCCAGTTGCCTCAGGAAGTAGGAGGCCTGCTGAAGGGAGGGGCTGCACCCCACAGCTCAGACCCGCACAAGGCCTCCTGCTTGCAAATGGTGGAGAAACCAGGGGATGGATCTCAGGGAGGCAGCAGCAACCAGTCCCTGGTCTCCCGCTTGCCCTCCCCACACACCTTCCGTCGTGTCCTGGAGCTCACGGATGCCGTCCACGGTTTCCAGTGGCCAGTAATGAGAAGCAGAGGCTAGGACCTCAAAGCCTGGGGAGGCACAAGAACAGAGAGGTCAGGACACCTTCGGGACAGGAAGAACAGGCACGCTGGGGCGGGGGTGGGGTGGAGGAGGAGGAAAGAAGCTCCGAGCTGAGGGATCTGGATAAAGCCCAAGCACAGGGCTGGGCTTGGGGGGCAGTGGCGGGGTCTCCCACAGATGCTGAGGCCAGGAGGCATGGGGGACAGACCCAGGCCTTGAGCTGGCTGGCCTCATGCTCCTCCCAGGCCCCCGGAGTCAGGCTCTTTCACTCTGCCAATAAATTCAAAGTGGATGAAAGTTTTCTTTCACAGCCTCAGAGGAACCAACAGGCCAGCTCAGTGCTGGGGCCAGCAGGGGGGCAGCAGGGGCCCAGCAGCACCCAAGAAGACAACACAGGGTTGGACAGATGGGAAGGGTGGGAAACTCGCATCAAGATCATGGCAAACAGTTGTGAGGGCCTGCAAGCAGGACAGGCCGCTCCCCCATGTCCCTGTTAGGTGGGTTCTGACACAGCTCCCAGTTCAGGTTTCCCAGCTTGGTGTCCTCAGTCAGTCCCTCCTGAACTTCCACACCCAAAGCCAGCTGTCTCTGAGCTTCCTGGGGTCCTTGGGCCGTGAGAAGACAGAAGCTGCTGCAGGGAAGAGGCTGCTCTCCTCTCCTCTGTGACAAGCCTCAGAACCCTCCCAGGCAGCCCGCGACCCCAGGCAATGCTCCTATCCCGGGATTGGCCGCACCACCACCTGCTCTGCGCGCCACCAGTGCAGAGTTCTCTAGGATTCCTCCTCCAACACTCGCTCGGAGAAGAGCAAGCAAAGATTTGGTCACTAAATCACCACAATCCAGATCCCAGAAAGTGAGGATCCATAAGCCCATCACTGTACTGCTCATCGTAAAAACATTGTCAAAAAAAGAGATAACACAGTCATTATTTTCAAATTAATTTTTCCTGATACTGAAGATAAAAACTATTACAAATGAGAAAGGAATTTAGTTGCTAAAAAACTATTACAAACAATAAAAGAATTTAGCAAGCATAAGAAGTTCCTGTACCACAAAAAAAAAAAAAAGAAGAAGAAAAAGACATCCCACAGACTGGGAGAAAGTATTATTTGCCCACCACTCAGATGATAAAAGTTAATATTAAATATATATAAAGCACTGATAGAACTTTACAAGAACCAACCCCATCCAAAAAATGGTTGGGGGTGGGATGCAAGGAAGAGATGAACAGAAATTTCCTCAAAGAAGACAGATGGCCAAAAGACATGAAAAGATATTCTGCATCAGGTGCAGACAGAGCAATGATAGAAAAATCCACCAATATCACCAACAACATATAAAAATCTAATTTAGGGCACAGATGCTTTTATTTGGGGGGAGGGCCACTCCTGGCGGTGCTCAGGGATTACTCCTATAGGGGCTCCGGGGGCCTTATGTGGTGCTGAGGATCAAACCCAGGTTGACCATGTGCAAAGAAACGCCCTCCCTGCTGGACTATAGCTGTAGCCCTCAGATGCTGCTTTAATGCAGAAATGGTGCTCAGCAGTGACAGCTGGAATGGCGAGCCACCTAAGAACAGTGAGAACCCGCTACACTCTCTGACCCCAGTGATGTGCACAGCATCTGAATTCTAATGCACTACAATCAAATGTAAAAGCTTCTGAAGAAGACAGGTTAGAAATTTGACTAGAAGCATTCTTGAGCCTGTACCAAAGTAAGAAATCAAGATAGAAGCCAGAGAGTGCACAGTGGGGAGGGCATGCAGCTGACCTAAGTCCAATTTCCCCCAAACTTGTATTTTTTTCATTTCACATTAACTAGGACTTTATTTTCTTAAAACTACACATTGTCAGTCTGAGTAGAAATCCACTGTGATGTATAGATCTTGCCATTTAAATTCTAAAATCCAGGGGGTGGGGGGAGGTTCTTGATAAATTTTATCTAAGAAACAATGATACACAATACATGCTCCCTACTGCACACAGTGGGCTGCAGGGTGTGGGGGGGCCTGGCTGGTTATAGCCACGTCTTGGCGATGGCTCACCAGATCAGTGCCAGCACCCCTGGAAATCTACCGCTTTCAGCCAACAATTAGAAAGTGTCCCACAATGGCATCAGATGCTATGACCATCCCGGGAACTAACACCTGAGAGCACAGGAATGCCAACGCGTCTGTCCTACACATCCAGATCCACGGCAGCAATGCTCATGAGGTGACCTGAGCACCCACTAGCATATGGTCCACCTGGAGGATCTGGTACACACACATACACACACAAACACACACAACACAGTGTCGTCCAGCCAACAGGCGACATGAAACCCACTGCTGGTGACAATGGGGTAGGTGAATCAGGGAGACAAAGCTGGCCCTTCTCACTGCTACTTGACTCTGGAGCTTGTGGGAAGCAAAAAGTTGTGGTTCTGGGGTGGGGAAAGGGGAGGTATGTGGGAGAACGTGGTCCTACACCCCTAGGGATCAGATTAAAGGTTGGTGGGGAGGTTGTGGCCAGTGCCTCCCTGACGTTCCTCAGTGGCCAGCAGTTCCTCTACTTGCCCACGAGAGCCGACCCTCAGAGCTCTCACCATGCAAAATCCTTTCCTTTTCTTCTTTCCTGTCTCTGCCAGCAATGTAGCATGTCATCCGTCTAGCATGTGTAAGACGGCCCCCACCCTGCACATGCCCACACACACGAGCCAGGGCGAGTCGAGCAGGACGAGAAGAAAAGCTATTTCCTTTCCTACCAAGCCATTTTTCCCTAAATCTGGGATCTTCATTGTGAAGGGAAGAAAACATCATCACTGACTTGTTATTCAATTCATCTGGGAAAAAGAAAAAAAAGAGGAAAGGAAAGAACATCTGTTGTACAAAGAACAGATGTTCCATGTCCTCGTCTCCATAGGAGTCCATGGAGAGCCCGCCTGAGGCTGGGCGAAAAGTTGGCACAGGGATGGGCAGGGTCAGGTTCACGCACAGCAAGGCCCTCGGCGCTGGGAGGCGTTGGGGTGGGGTGGGGGGGTGCCAAGTGTCAAGCATAGACGCCCAGGCCCTGGCACAACTGTTTGGATCAGGGTGGAGGCAGGACCAGGGGAGTGGCAGGGGTGGGCTGCGGGGCTGGGCTGGGGTTGGTGGCCACAGTTGAAGACACGCAGAACTCACGAATGCAAAAGGACAGGCCAGAACACTAAGCAGGCTGAGCAGGAAGGTCAGCGGCCACCACCCATCTCTGTAGGACACAGCACAACTCAGTGCTTCATCGTCTGCTGACTTGGCTTTGGGGCTACCCCGGGTGGTGCCTAGGGGCTACTTCTGTAGTCTTCCCTGGGCGTGCTGGTGCTGAGGAAACCATGAGAGCTGGCATGAAACCCGGTCTCCACTGAGTGTCTCTCTGGCCCGAGAAACCCAGATCTTTTGGAGGAAGCCACACCCACTGCTGCTCAGGGATCACCTCTGGTGGAACTCAGGGACTGAACCTGGGTCATCCTAGTGCAAGGCAAGCGCTCTGCCCACTGTGCTCTCTCCAGCCCTGAAATTTTTATTTTACATTTGAAATCTCCCCAAACATCTATGCTGGCAATGGACATTGTCATCTTCTATTTTTGCAGTACAGGGATCAAACTCAGAATATCCCAGGTGCTAAGGGAGAGTGGTGCCCAGTGCTCCAGGACCAAAGAGCTGGACTCAGGGCGCATGCTCCCTGCCCCAACCTACAGAGTGCACTGCTCCCACCCGACAGTGACTTTGCAACAGTAAAATCTCACTGTTTGGCAAGTGAGACTGGCTTCCTTCCTGAAACCAGGTGGCCATGACCAGCTCATCAGGACTAAAGTCTGCCCCGAGTGGACAGCAGCCCCTGATGAAACGGGAGAGTCACCTCATTGCCACGGCTGCCCTTGACCCCTAGGCAAAGCTGTTCATTCATATCTGATGTTTAGTTGATCCAACAAAAGTTTGGTGTGTGGTGTTAGGAATATCAATACTCCTGGAGGAAAATGAGCAACAATTTTTCTTTCTTTGCAGTTTTCTTCCAGCCTCCTGGAACTCATCGCTTTTCTCTTACAGTACTGTGGGCAGGTCTCATCCCTGAAGTCTGCTGGGCAATGTAGGGCCGTGTCCACAGTACTGGTCCCAAAGATGTCTAGGGCCTCAGGCTGGCTGGTTGAGCCTATGGCCAGTCCCCTCACCAGGGCTCAGGTCTGAGGTATCTGGCTTGCCTGTGTCCTGCGTCAGACTGTCTCCCTGCTCTGTGTGGTCCCCACATCTCACAGGCCCAAGTGTGAGCACATCTGTATGGTGCAGCCTGGACCTTCACCCAGAGCTCCCTGAACCCCTGTTTGTCAAAGACCACGTGGGCAGGAGAACAGAGAAACATGACAAAGAGTAGTCACAGTCTACAGAGACCGACCACACCACCCCCCGCCCCCCCCCCCCACCCGGCTCTGCACAGCTCCACCTGCAGAGCCCCGTGAGGCCCTGGCTTCAGCATTCTGTGAACAGCCCCAGCGGGCGTCCTGCAGGGAGGAAGGACACAGCCCGCCCGCCACCACCCGCGGTTTGCCCCCCTCTGCAAACCACATAAGTGCAGAGAGCTGTGGACACTGCCCACGGGTGTGCTCAGCCTCCCTGACCTCCAACTCAGCTGCCCAGGCCTTTGGCAGGGCAGAGAGTGGCTGCTCAGTGCCCCCGGCCCGATGCCTGGGCAAGGACACAGGGTCCTGCCCTGCCCACAGCACAGAGGCGTCCCCACGGGCAGCAGGTATGAAGGCGAGGACGACGCAGCTCAGAGGGCCACAGAGCCCTTGGGTATCCCCTCCCAGCTAGTGGGAAAGTGAGTAGCACATGAGCGGGAAAGTAGGGGGGAGCACATGAGCAGCCTTGGGCCTTGCCCACGACCGTCCTCAGGGCCAGCCCTGCCCAGGCCCTCAGGCTGCTAACAAACTCCCAGGGCGGGGGTCACAGGACCTCTGTGCCCATGCGGTCTGAGAGGGGCTGCTGGGGAGGGCAGGACCTGAACACACACAAAGAGCTTAGGCCCCCACAGCAGAGGGAGGATAGGAAGAACTGGAGGACGCAGGAAGAGTGGTGAGGGAAAAGATGGTGGGGTCTCATGTGGCTATGTGTGTGCACATGTGTGACAGTCAGGCATGGGTGGGTGTGAGTGGAGGTGTGAGTTTGTGTAGCTCTGTGCAAGTTTGCTGGCGAGCTCATGTGGGTATGTGCGTACAAAGTGGCAGAGCCCAGCCCTGGAAGTCCACTCTGGACATCTAACAGAGAGACCAGGGGGCAGAATGGTGGGCAATGCCTCAGCCTCACCTCCTCCCCAGTAACAGCTGAGCTGGGGCACCAGAAGGAAGGAGGAGGGGCTGGGCTAGCAACCATGGCCAGCAGACGGTGAGAGATCACAGCCAGGTGATGCCCATGGCTAGCTGGTCAGTGAGAAGGGGACGCCCAAAGCTGGTCCGAGTGGACAGCAGGGGTACACCCACGGCCAGCAGTCGGTCAGCAGAGAGAAGAAGGGATGTCCACAGTCGGCGGGTCAGCAGGGAGAGCAGGGGAACACACATGGCTGGTGGCCTTTTGTGGGGACGGCAGGGGACACTCCCCTCTCTAAGTGGCAGCTCAGAATGGACAAGGCTAGAAGAAAGGCTATCCCCTGCGGGGCTCTGGGTGCAGGTGCTAGGAAGACCCTAACCCCTGCCACATCACATCCACGGCCACCTGTGTCAGCTACAAACACACTGTGGTGTGAAATGGGTGGCCCCAGGCTGCTCACTGAGACAAGACCCCCAGAGGCCCTGGGATCCACCACTCCCCTGGGGCTGAGTCAGGGACAGTCCCAGCAAAGGAGCACACAGTCCAGGGAAGGGCGTGGGGCACCAGGCTGGGCTCCCTGCCAGTTTGGGGAGTGTGGCCATAGCAAAGGGCAGAGATGGCAGGTCCCCAGCTTCATCCCAGGATACAGAGGGCCCGGCCCCTCCCTCCCGGTGGGACCAGCAGGGTCCTGAAGGCACAGAACTTCCAGGAGAGACCATGACTGTCCCTGGGGTCCCCATGCGTCCTTACCTGGATGGGGGGGTGGCCTGGCACGGGTCCCACATACCTGCACACATGAAAACAGTCCGTGAGCTGGGGTCCGGCCTAGGCAGGGTCCCCCCTGATGCCGGCCCCACACGCACCTGCCAGGCACAGCAGAGGATCAGCATGGCGGCCAACAGTGTCCCCATGGCCCAGAGCGGCCGCAACTCTATCTCTGCCGCCGGAAGCCGGAGGGGCCCATCCCCACTGGGGTCGCTGAAGCAGTGGTCAGTGGCCGCTCCTCCCGTGTCCCGGAACCCGGCACTCAGCCTGGCTCCCTGGACACATGGCCGATGCTGCAGAGGACTCCTGCCCCGTCCGGGCCGCTGCCACCGCGGCTCTCCTGGCTCTCCGCTCTGGCAGCCGGGACAGCGGCTCGACTCCTCGTCCCCCGCGGGAAGTCCTGGAGCAGCCTTCTGTAGCCGCCGCCCCCTGCTCTGTCTACACCTCTGCTGCTCTCCGCGGGTGGGGAGACGCTGAGGTCAGGCGTCCGGGCTCGCTCTCCCACACCCACCTCGCCGCCGCCTTCCCGGGTCCTAACTCCAGCCCGTTGCGAACAGCTGGGAATGATCCTGAGCACGGGCGGGCGGCCACCAGGCCTGGGTGTGCCGCTATAGATCAGAGGCCCAGCCAGCAGCCCAGCGCCTGGTCATAAACACACATTGCACAACAGACTCAAAACCGCGAAGGGCCCTGAAGGAAGGGGAGCTGGAAGGAGAGGAGCCCCTGCAGGGGCGTCGGCCCTTAACCCCTTCAGCACTCACAGAGGCCCCAGGGCAGGACCCCACCATCCCCAGCCTCCAGGAAAGTGCTCAGAGAGAAGTACACCCTCAATCACCGCACCTGTATCCAATCTCCTAGAAACACCTGAAGACACAGAGAACTGACTTCACTGCCCCGAGCCCCTCACTGGTCTCGTGTCCATAACTGACCCCTTTCCCCTGTCTGGTCCCATCCCCCTCACTGACTCTGAGCCCCTCACTGGCCCTGGCCCTGCCCCCCATCCCTGGCCCCTCCCCCCACTGACCCTGACCTCCTCACTGGCCCCATCCCCCTCAATGTCCCTGTCCCCCTCATTGGCACTCTCCACCCTGGCCCCTTCATGTGGTTCTCATTGGGTGTCACATCTCTAAGGTCTTAAAGCTGCCCGTGAGGCTGGAGCCCGTCAATCCCACTGAGATCACGACTGTGAGGCAGAAATAACACCCAGTAAATGCTCGGGCATTATTCTCTCCTCCGTCCTGACTTTAAATGGCAATCGAGTCCCAAATCCAGCGATTTCCAAAAGAGGATAAAAACGCGCCTTCGTTCTCCACTGGGAGGGAGGAAAACAGTCAGGTCGAAGGTGAGCAGACTCTGCTGGGCTGAGGCCTCCAGTCTCACAGCTTGGTCAGGCCTCCCTGGCCGTCTCCACACAGGGCCACACTGTCCCCCTGACCCTTACCCCTGGCTGGGAAGTGGCTTTTCAGCCTTTAGGTCTGCTCTCACCAGATTCCACTGGGCGGGTGGGGGCTTCCTCAGCCTTAGCTGACTGAAGAATGGCACCCACTGCCAGACACCCACCTCGCCCACTTCCCAGCCCAACTGGAACAGAAATAAGGGCAGCAAGGACAAGTGGCACAGATGCCCTCAGGACCTGCTCACTGAGCCCCACTCCCAGCAGATCCCAGGGACCAAGGGGTCTCCCCACTGAGCCCCACTCCCGATGGATCCAGGGACCGAGGGGTCTGCCCACCAAGCCCCACTCCCTGCGGGCTCGAGGCCACGGGCTCCTCCCTGTCCACTTGCTCAGCCTTCCCTCCCAGGAAGCCGCATCCCCACCTCCATGTGGAGATCTCTCCCTGGGACCCTCTCCACGTCAAGACTACCCCAAGCCTTCCCCATTCCACTTCTCTCGGGATCCGGTGCCCCCCACCCAGAACCCAGACAAGTTTCAGCTGTTGACTCCTGTCGGGACATCAGGGGGGAAGTCCCGTGTGGCCGTGCCCGTCACCCCGTTCCTGAGAGGGGCGAAGCTCAGGCTTCAGCCGTGATGACGACACCCCTCACCTCTCACGAGAGGGCGCAGCAGCACTTTCCCTATGAAAGCGGCAGGTCGGAGGAAGCCATGTCTCAGGTTTGACAGGGGCCCACGTCCAACACGTCCCTCCGGGCCCCGCCTCCGCCCCGGCTGTCACCTCCCCTCGCCCTGCACTTAGTTCTCCAGCCCAGAGCAGCTCCTGAGGCAGATGTTGCCCAAGGGATGGAGAACTGTCACTCGGGATAAAAGAACACCGGAAGGTGGGGGAAGACACTTTAAAGGAAGCAGCATGTGGCGGCCGCTGCACGGACACTGACCACAAGTGCTGAGAGAAAGGGGGCGGGACAAGGACCGGCAGGACAAGGACAAGGCACGGTCCTGGGCACGTGAGCAGGCCCCGACTGCGGATTGGCTGCTGAGCTAGACACGTGAGCAGGCCCGGGCTGAGGATTGGCTGCTGAGCTGGGCATGTGAGCTGGCCCCAACCGCGGATTGGTTGCTGAGCTGGACACGTGAGCAGGCCCGGGCCGAGGATTGGCTGCTGATCTGTGCAAGGTCCTGGACAAGAAGCGAAGCTGTGGTGGGGGGTGGAGGAGGGTCTCAGGTGTAGTGTTTGGGGGGGGGGAGCGCGACTCATAGGTGTGTGTTGGGCAGGTGTGAAGGTTGAAGTGTACCAGGTGCGGGGGACAGGTTGAGGCAGTTGTGAGGCCCCCTGGCCCATGAGAGGCTTCTGGGAGGGGTAGCAGGTGAGGGGGTTGCCCCCCTCAATAACGTGTCTGTCCTCCCTCTCTGTGCCAAGCCTGACACTTGTACGGGCCACATGCACTCAGCGAGGACGTACCCCCTGCAACACCCGCACCCCCGATTCCGGGTTCTGAGGGGAGAGGCGGGTCTGCGTCTCTGTCATCCCGCCCTCCTATGCCTCAGACTTCTCGGCATCCTCGTGGTGACGCAGCATACCTGGCCCTGCCAGGACGTGTGTGCGTGTGTTTCCTGGCCCTGCCAGGACCAGTGTGTGTGTGTGTGTGTGTGTGCCAGCAGCAGGACAAATAACACCGCTGCACATGGCAGTGGCACCTCACAGGTTCCTGAACGAAGAGCGAGACTGGACACAGCCTCTAGTGGACACCGTGGAAAGTGGCCCCATGGGCAAAGGCATGCCACCACCACGACATAACCCACCCAAACAGGGACACACCCCTGCTTCCTGGCACAGGAAAGGTATTGGGGGAAGAAGCACCCTCTGTGCAGGTGACAGGCAGCCCCCCAGGCGAGACAAAACTGCCTCTTGGCTGAGAAAAGGCACCTGAACTCAGACACAGCCAGAGAAGGCCGAGTTTCAGACGAGAGTGTCCCCCTACTGCTGACCAGAGGCGGGTGGTGAGAATCATGCTCTGGACATGGGACCATGAGGACAAAGTCACTAGAGCCTTGGGATGCAATGCAGGGGCTGCAAGGAGAGAGATCTGTGAACATGCACCCCATCTGTGAACATGCCCAGTAAACCCACCTGGGACCCCCTCTGCACACCATTCCCCCAAAGCTTTCCATCCCCTGGATTCCCCAGACCCAGCACCATCATATCTGCGGTGCCTGGACATGCGCCGAGGGCACACGGGCACACACGTTGTGTTCACACACCAGTGTATACAGCATATGCCCATGCATGTGCATTCACATACATGCACAGTCTGTGCCGGCTTGCACAGACAGACACATAACACATAGGCACACATGTATGTGCATGCAGCTCCCACTTCAGCATCCAGACTACCCACCACCTGCAGCACCCGGCATTTGTTCTGGATCATGACACAAGGGCGGTGAGCAACGAGCCCACAGCCAAGAGACAGAGTGTCAAGATGATAAGATGGAAACTTTTGAATAACGATGACTCATGCGCCGAAGGCCTTACAGGAAAAGGCGACAACATTCAGGAACAGATGGGAATCTCTGCTGTGAGATGAAAATTAGAAATGGAAATACTATCACCAAAAGAAACAGAGAAATGTCTGCCATAAGCTCCATGCAGGCAAGGACAGTATCTGTAAACTTCGTCTACAGCCACTGACGTGATCCTAACTGAAATACCATGTGAAAAAGTAAAATGACTTTTTTTTAAATGATAGTCTAAGGGAAAAATGTTACAATGTCAAATAATCTAACACATGTGTAACTGAAATCCCAGAAGTGGAGTGAGAAAATGAAGCAGAAAAAAAATATTTGAAGAGACAATGGCCAAGAATTTTCCAACGTAATAAAATCTACTCAATCACAGACCCAAGAAACTAAGACAATCCAAGCAGAGTAAGTACCCCCCTGACACACACACACCCCACTCTATACACACACCCCATTCCATACAAATACACACACACTCCATACATGTGCCTGCACGCACACACACCACTCTATACATACACATATACCCCACTCTATACACAGACACCCCACTTCATACACACATCCCACTCTACACACACACACACACGGCCAACAGTCACTTCTGGATCCTGGAGGCAGCAAGAGGAACAGCCCCAGGTCCCTCGGTGGAGCAGAGGCCAGTAAACACCTGTCAGATCTCTGCCAGCCAGAGGCTGTGCTGCCTCAAGAGTGGCCCTGCCCCCAATATGGGCATCTGTGAACATGCACCCCAGAGATGCAGGCAGGGTGCATGGGAGAAGGGCTACACAGACACAGACATGGGGCTTCCCTGGGGACAGTGCAAGCTCCACTGTCAGGCTGTGGCCATGGCCATATGACTTGGCTGTTTTGTGAGGGATCACTGGGTCCCACACTTTCAGAGCATGGATTTTGGGGGAGGGCGCTGGCCTTGCGTGCAACCAATATGGGTTCAATCCTCTGCACCACTTATGGCCCCCGGAACCCCACCAGGAATGATCCCTGAGCACCACCTTCTGTGGATAAAGGGCTAAATTCATCAACAACTCAGAGCCCTCCTGATGTTGGATGCAGCATCCAGCCCAGGGTGCACGTACAGGGCAGACGCAACGACGAGGAGGGAGAAAGAGAAATCAATAGTATTTGGGTAGAAAACTCAAGCCTCACTAGAACAAAATAAACCCGTTTTCAGAAAGGAGCCATGGTCTTGAGAAGCCCCTACTAGTGGGAATTATCCCCTGGAAGTGTGGTCAGCGGTGAGTCAGGATGGGAACACGACTGGCCCC